CATCTTAGCAAACCACTTAGCAACCCCCACCTCCCTACCAGACTCCATGTCTTCTTCTGCTCAGCTAAATAGAATTTTAGTTTGCGCCAGCTCAACTTCTTAGGACTTCAATAGGAAATAGAATTTTGTGAGGGGGCAAACACCCTCAAGGTGTATCTCTGCCTCTTTGTACCCAAGAAGACAAAAGAAACAGCTGCTGGACTTTGGGGGTGGGCTCCTGACCTGAAGGTTTGGTCAGTAATGCTGTTAGAAGGTTATGGTAAGAACTTTACTTTGAATCATGTATAGTTTGTTAAGCTAGGCACTAGGAAGTCTTATATTTATTTTTCTTGTAACCACGTCTAACTTTTATGCATCATTACTTGTACTCACTTAAAATCTATCTCATTATGGTTAAATTTGTGTTAATCTTTAATTGAAGCTAATCCAGTATGTTTAAGTTAAATTGTCTGGGCTGGGTAACTCCATTTAAGGTGGCAAGTTGTTGTGTATTGTTCCCCTAAAGGGACAACATGCCTAATATCTCTGGTCTATCCAGGAAAGGACTGGACAGTACAGAACATACATTTAGGGGGACGGGTGAGGAGAAATACAAGACTGCATGTGTGTTGGGGTCACCAGGCAGAAGTAACCCAGGTTGGTAAAAGCCAGAGTGTAATCCAAGTGTGGCTGGCGGTTGCAGTTACACACACTTACACACTTACACACACACACACACAGGGTGTGGCTTGCGGAAGGCTGTTTGTGAGTGACCCAGGTGGGAGCTACTTCAGCAAGGGCATTGTAAGGCACCCAAGGTTGCAGGGCAGGAGTGACACGGGCCCTTGCTGGTCTGGATTGCACCCCAGTGTATGTCACACCCCAGCATACCGGCGGGTGAGAGATGGGGGACAACAAGGGAGCAAGGAAGGGGATTTGAGAATGGAAATAGTCTATGGGGAAACACTCTTTTATAATTGGAGATCATAAGGGTCTCTCCATTTGAATATTCCAGAGGCAAAAAAATGGTATCTGTGTTGGGGGGAAGATGGGGAGAGAAATAGTAGCTGCCTGCATGTGGATCTTGGTAGGAAAAGAATTTAAAGAGAAAACAACATTTGAAAAGGGGATTGTTCCACTGAGCATATTTGAGGGGGGAAATCTCTTCCAGTGTGATCTGACTTACCTGCTACATTTTAGAATGAATGGATGCTCCACGTTCACCTGCTGCTAAAGCTCAGGCATGCGGTCCTAGCAGCCATGATGAATTTAAAACAATATTGCTGTTTTAATGCTCATGGAGGATACCTGCTGACTTAGGCCCTGATCCTGCAAATCCTACATGCATGTGAGTAGATTCACCCATGGGAGGAGTCCCATTGATTTAAATGGGGATTATTTGTGCAAGTAGAGTTTCTCAACTGCATAAGTGTTTGGAGGATTAAACTGTTAATAATTCATTTTCATATAATGTTGTTTGAAGTGTGTGTAATACGCCTGGGATCAAATTCTGCGAGCTTCCACTGAAGTCAATGTACCTTCGTGCAAGGGCAACATGTGATTCTTGGCACCATCAGTGTGAACATTTGAATGCACTGGGATGGACTCCTGCCCGTATTGGAACTCTACCTTCTTGATAAACTTGTCTCTCTGATCTGTTATTTCCTGGTTAATAAAAGGGATCAGGAATCTTCCAGTTGGGTTCTTTGCCACCTGTCGTCAGTCAGAAACTTTTCAAGTCATTATGCCACATGAAAGCAGCTCAAAGCTCTTTATCGATTAGCTAAGGGAGAAGTAGCTCATTGCAGCCAGCATGACTGATCTGTGCCTAAAATTAGCAGGGTTCTGATGTAGGCTGAGCAGCACCACAAAGAGAAAACAGTATGGTGAAAGTCCTGGGCCTTTTCTACCCCCACCTCTCTTCTCTTCCCTCCCCAGAGCAAGTATTTTCCTTGTTCCTTTCCATGCTCCCTTGTACCACCCGCTCACCTTCCTGCCTTTCACTCCATACACACAACTTACAAAAAATACTGTTTGCCTGGCACTGCTAATGACTCTTCCTCGTCTTCCCTGTCGCCACCACCAGCCTATCAGGGCTGTGCTGGGAACATGCTCTAGATAGCATCAGCACTGAGTACGCTTATTGTAATCCGCTCTCTATTTTCCCATGGGATGTGGGGGAAGTCCCCTTGTTTGAGTGAAGCTAGTCTGGGCAAAGCACTGAAGAATATGAACTAGACCGAGCCCAGTCTGGCCCTGGACTAGATGATCTAGCAGGGCCTTCTCCATCTCAAAGCACAGGTGTAAACCAGGTTAGCTCCACTGACTTTTGCGCAGAAGCTAGGCTGACTTACACTAGCTGAGGGTCTGCTCCTAGGAGGCTGTGGCAGAGCCAGAAGTCCAGTGATGGTGGAGAGGTTGGTGCACTAGGGGATGTATCTTTTCATGTGCTGTGTATTTATACCTGCCTACTGTATATTCCACTCCATGCATCTGATGAAGTGGGTTCTAGCCCAGAAAAGCTTATGCCCAAATACATTTGTTAGTCTCTAAGGTGCCACAAGGATTCCTCGTTGGGGTGTTTTTTTAGGGGACATGGAAGAGAGATTCTCCCTTACCCTGCACCTTGTGTTGTTAATTGTCCTCCCCCTCCCCCTGCGCAAAGGTGGGTTTCAAATGCTGCTAAATCAGAATGGTAACTATTGCATCCACTTTTCCCTGGCCCAGGGTTATTCTGGGCCAGTAACAGCACAAGGTCAAGAAGACTAGGACCAGGAGTGAGTCAGAGCAGAGACCCAGGATGAGGTGAAGGGGAACCCTGGGGCAACTTCAGCAGTAAACAATCCTCATCTGGGATGGTACTGCAGTTGAGAGAGCTGCCCATTCCATACCCTCACATATAATGTTGATTCAAGGTGACAGGCTCAGCAATTTGCTATTGAGAAATTTTTGTGATGTCAATGGAAGCTTTATGCTTTTACAGCCTGAGATCCTTCTATGCAGATGGAACTAATGCTTGGCTTCCTCCATTATCTGATAAACTGTGTATGTATTCTGAGCCACAGAGACTTCCTTGTCTAACTCCCACCCTCTGCAAGACAGCTGCTCCATGGAAACCCAGGTGTGGTCATTCAAACACAAAGATTCAGCAGCCAAAGTACAGTAGCACCAAGGGATATTAATAAAGACCAGAGGAGATAGATGAAAACAAAGTCCAGAAGACAACTGGTCTGCGTGACTTTAGTGGGGTTGCATTGATGTAAATAAGTTGGATTTTGCCCCAAATTTGCACCCCAGCTTATCAATACATGTAAGATTCTGTTCTGCCTTTTGATGACGATGAGCATCTTAAAACGGAGTTGTGCTTTCAGCTACACTGGTGTCAATTGGAGTAGCCCCACTGAAGCCCGTAGTGTCAGTGAAAGTAGAATTTGCCCCAAGTTTATAGCTCAGGAATAGGTGTGGTTGTGTATTGCTGTCAGGACTCTAGAAAAACAGACTTATCTTGATGAAACCCTGATACCATAGGAAGCTGAACAAGTGGAATAAACCAGAAATCCTGCTCTGCTAATGCCTTGCCCGTGATGCATAACTTTCTGGCCACCAGGTTAACCCATTGCATGTATTGGGTTGACCTGGTGGCCGGTTTGCTTTCGGGGCCGGGTGTCACCCTGGGGTTGACCTGCTGTCCCAGAGGGGACTTACAAAAACGTCTGGCTGCTTCCCAGGGGTCGACCTGGTGTCCCAGTGGAGACTTTTAAAATTTTTTGGCCCTTTTTCCCCAAGGGTCTTGACCCGATTCTCAGCCTGACCTAGGCCGACCGTTGGGGCCCCGGCCACTTGCCCCTAGCCCGAGCCTCACAGGTACCCAGGGCTGGGGAGTCGGGCTCCGGCTCCCCCACCCCTCCCTGGCTTCCTCCGCGGGGGCCCCGGACTGAGCCGCCGGAGGGAGCCTTTTGACCCCACGAGAACCGAGGGACGGCAGTCCCGCTGGTCCTCTCCGCCCGACCTTGGTGCTCCCTTCTCAGCTTGGGATACGAGCTTCTGAGAGGTGGCGACCTGGGACCCCCTCCTCTCCCCTCCGTAGCTGCTCCTCCTCCTCCTCCCCCCAGACTCGACGCTCCGTTCCCAGCCTTGGAGTCTGCCTCTCAGCGGTGGCTGCCTCGTGTCCGAGGATGCTCGCCCTCCGGAGGCTGATGATAAAGCCTGATGCTGACCGCCACTACCCCCCGACTCTCCGAGGGATGACTACTAGGCATCCCCCCTGGACCGCCCAGGAGATGACAGCTAAGCCTCCCTCCAGATCTCCTGGGGGACGACTACTAAGCTTCCCCCCCTTGACTGCCCAGGAGGGACGACTGCTAAGCCTCCCTCGGACCTGCTCCGAGTCGACTATTAAGCCCCCTCTGCGGTCCTCATGAGAAGTACTGCGCTGCCCTGGGAGTGGGGTTACACCAGCTGAGAATCTGGCCCAAAGAATCGATCCCTTTACTCAAGACTCTCTGCTTCCACAGTCTGGAAGCACCTTGTTAGTTAGGGATTGCCAATGGCTGACACAAGGACAGGCAGTGATGGGCCGTAAAGGAAGCAATGGTGTAGTCACCCCTCCACTGTGAAGAAAGGTTCATGGCAGCATAAAGGGGGTACTAGAGGAGGACAATAAGGAGAAGGAAAAACAAAGCTTCTGTGAAGCCAAACCATAGAACACAGCAGGAAGTCTGCAGGTTTTTAACATATCCCATGGTAGCTGGTTCCCTGCCCCTCTGGGAGGATCTGATCTGCTTTCAGGCTGGCTACTGTACTAGGCCAGTTCAGTTTGGTTCTGATAATGATGTTAGATTATTCTGCTCTCCTCCTCTAAGGGGCAGAGAGAACCTGCTGGGGCAAGAGATCACTATTGCTTTATTATGGGTTTAAATGTAGCTGCTGGAGCCAGTGGGGACCAAGCCCTGCCATGGGATAGGGTTACAAAAGGCCAATACCTATGCCTCGTGATGAGCCAAGAAATAAAGATGACAATCTTATCTGCACTCCTGGATGCCACAGCTTTATTCCAGAGACATGTGTGGTCCATTCGGCTTAGCATGACAGCGATCAGAGAGCCATAAAAAAACCCACCTTGATCATCATCTAAATATGAAACAAGGAGCCTTCTACTAACTCGTGGCCCAGGTCTCCTCGCATTGGCCCCAGGTGTGACTCCCCCTGAAGAGATTTGTATACCAGTGTCCCTGTAGATTTGGGAAAGGGCTCTGTGAAGGAGAGTTTACCCTCTTCTGCCCCAACAGTAAATCAGATCAATGAACAAACCAAGTACAATACGGTTACCAAAGCAGAGGGCTACTTTACAGTAGTTGCGGGCAGCGGCAGCGCATGCTGAAATCCTCTGTAAATTAATAGGTTTAATCCTTCGTTGTGGTCTTCATGGTTAGGAAAATGCTGGATGAGGCCCAGCTTTGCCCTGTTGACTTCATTGGGGCTATTCCCACGCATAAATGTAAGCATGTGCCTAAACGTCTGCAGGACTGGGGCCTGGCTTTGGACTCGCTAAGCCACAGTGGGTCACATTCCTATTCTAAATTACACCAGTGGAAATCGGGAGTAATGGCCTTGATATCACAGCGGTGTCCCCGCAAGAAGAATCAAGTCTTAAATTAAAAACAATAAAGAATAAAATACTCCATTAAAGTGTTACCAGTTTGTGTAAATAAACATTCCTGACATAGGGAGGAAATGACTAAGTTATGCTAATAACAGGAAATGTAATGGTATTTCCCACTACGCTTGTTTCTATGCTCTCTAGCTTCTGTGGGCAGAATGAGCTTGTAGTGAAGTGGGAGGCTGTTAATTTTACCTGGGGGGTGAATGAGGCTCATTCAGTCTCAGTGGGAAACTGTACTTTCCTTAATTTTGTGCCACTAAATGGTGGTGCCTCAGTGGTGTAACTAGCACTGGGATTTAAATGAGCCTCAAAGCAAACTTCTGTGGCAATTGCCTGTTTCATGTCAAAACCAATTAAAATGGACTCTCTGCATCATTTTGAAGCAAAACCTGAAGTTGTCCCTGGGAACTTCCCCACTAATTAAGTTGGGAGGGGTTCATCTGTAGAGAAAGCCATAGGAAATTCACATCTATTCAGCCATTTCAAGGGAGGCTTAAGGGTATCTAGATCACTGCCAAAGAGTTCTCCTGATTGCCCCTCAGAAAAACTGGAAAGAGGGAACAGAAGTATTTTTGGAGCCCCCTGGCTGAAGTAAGACCTGGGCATAGTGCCGGTGGCCTAATAGCTAAAGCACTGGCCTTTGAAGCTAGGAACTGTGGATTGGACTCTCCTCTGGAGTAAGAAGATACTTGATTTAAATCAATATCAGCTCTGAAGGAGATGGTCTAGCTTAACCCCAAGTTATTGGGCCCAGTGCAGGCATCATTGAGTGAAGTTTTATGGCCTGTTCTAGGAAGGTCAGACTAAATAATCACAATGGTCCTACCTGGCCTTAAAATCTGTTTACACTAGAAGGCAGAAGGGGATCACGGAGAGTATGTTCGTGAAATCTGCCAGCCACCTGTTTGCTAGCAGGCCTGTCTCTCTCACAGCACAAAGAACCTGGGACCCTTAGAAAAGTGGCTTCAAATTACCCACAATTTCCAGATTGGCAAAACTCATTTTGCTGAGCCTATAACAAAATGTCGTCTTCTGTGTCTGCATCCTGGTCAGGTTTGAGGTTCCCATTCGTTGCTTGGAGCTGAGCTCTCTCTAGAATGAAGGACACCACTGGGTCACCGTGCTGACTGCCCTGCTCATCCTCCTCATCCTCCTCCTCCTCATTCCTATCCCCGTCCCCATCACTATCATCTTCTTTGTCAACCTGGTCTTCAAGCACTACAACATCATCCTTTGTGTCTGGATCAATATCATCCTTAAACCACACAGCTTTGTATCCATCGTCCACTGTCTTCCTGTCCTTTGTGAGGATAGATTTCACTTCTTTATTGCTGTCTGTGTCCTTTCCCTCTTTGTTCTCCTCCCCACCCTTCGTGGCAGCGGAAGCTGTTGCAATGGTGCTCTCCACCCTGGGCTCCAGAGGAAGGAAGCCGTCTGACGGCTGCTGCCCAACAGGGGTACCGTTCTCCAAAGTGTCGCTTCTCAGCGATTCATTGTCTTTCGTGCTCCAAACAGGATTTTCATCATCTTGGTAGCCTTGGTTACTTAAATCCTCAAGGGGATCCTGGGGGAATGGCAAGAGCAGAAATGTCTCATGATGGAGGGGGGAGAGGGGAGGGGGAGAAATGAAATGCTCGGGCACCGCTCTGCGGACATCAGTGGAATTGCACCCCTGCTGCCAGCTGAGGATCAGGCTGTCGAGGGGGCCCAGACAGGAGGCATGCGATACCCTAGTGGTAACTTTTGAGATGTAATTTCCCCTCCCTTCCTTTCTACCATCAGAAAAGTTGAATCAAACAATCTATGGCATGGCTGCCAAAACTTACTGACCCTCCGAGCCACATACGACAATCTTCAAAAGCCCAAGAGCCAGGGGGTGCCTGCATGGGCTCAGGGCTTCAGCCCAGCTCCTGCTGAAGCCCAGAGCCCTGGCAGGTGCATCCCACTGGGCAGAAGCCCTGAGATCTCCACCACCTCGCTGCAAGGCAGAAGTCCCAAGCTTCCCCCACCCCAGTCTGGTAGGTGGAGAATGGGAGGGGGATGTGGGGGGCTGTGTGAGCTGCGCTTTAATAGTAAAAGAGCCTCATGTGGCTTGTGAGCCACAGTTTGGCCATCCCTGCCCTATGGGAAAGGACAAGTTCAGAACAGCTCGATTTGTTTAAGGATGGGTGGGGGGGATGCAAGACAGTCCAGTGAACTAATCAACAGCAGCCTCACCTCCATGACTCCTCCCCTCTTCCATCAGACCTTGAGGGAGAGTGGTTTTTTTTTGTAAGCTGCTCCTAACCCCAGGTAGCCTGGTGAATTATTGGGACGTTTATTCCTGGCAGAGTGATTGTCCAGTAGCACCATTACTCCGTTTAGGTGTTATTAGCATTTGCTGGGGCCCATTTGTTCCTATGGAAGCCCTGACTTGGGTCAACATGTCTCATCTCAGAGGCTTGCAGCAATCACCTGAGATGCAGGCACTTGATGCATCTCTCAGTACCACCGCTGCAGTCACAGGACACCCATAAGAAGTGTATCTAATACTTTGCACTTCTAAGGCACCTTCCATCTAAGGGTCTCGCTTTACAAACGTTAGTGAATCTCCCCTCCTGACACTCCTGTAACAGAAGTATTAGTGCCATTTTGCAGATGGAGACAATGGAAGCCCAAAGACGTTAAAGCCAACATTTTCAAAAGAGGCCACTGATTTTTAGGGTCCTCCATTTCTGGGTTCCTGACTTCTCAAGTTCTGAACACCTGCAGCTCCCATTGAGTTCCTACTCCTATCTCTTTGAATCCACCTATTATCTGGCCTCTTATTCTTTGAATTCTCTGGGGCATGGGTCATCCTGCTGTTATATCTGTACAGTGCATAGCAGAGGGGCTGGAGCCTCGACGTGCTATGGCAATACAAATCATAATGACTGTGACAGTGCGTGATGTTTGGCTCACCAAAAAATGGAGGCCTGCATACTCAGTGCGACGCTTAAACTTTGGTCCATGCGACCTGTCACAGTCACGCAGCAGGACATAGAACGTGGATATCCCAGCACCCTGGTTCTTTCTTTAACCCCAAGACACATAGGTGCTGACTCCATGGGTGGTGCTCAGCACCCACCAGCCATAGCTGATGTGGGAGGGGGGGAAAGGAGGTCGGCAACGGTGGCACCAATCAGCGGATGGGGGAGGAGGGAGGAGAGCAGTGGGCGGGCAGGGGTCCTCGAGGAGGGGACAGGAAGAGGCAGAGCAAGAGCGGGGCAGAATGGGGGTGGAGCATCCCCCGGGAAAAGGAAAAGTTGGCCCTTATGCCAAGGCATCATTTCCGAGCTCTAAGGCAACCCTGAAACGAAACAGTTACAAATTAACCACTTACTTTGTCGCTCTCTTTTCCAACCAGATGCTTAATTGTGTTTGCATAATGCTTGCCGACAATCAATCCAAGCAACAGTAAGGCTATTACCAGAAGTACCGCCAACGTGGCGCCTAAAGCAGCCATGTCCTGTGCAGTGTATTGCAGGTTAGCTCTTGCGCCTTTTGTACCTACGAGGAAAACAAATGGATGTTACACTTCTCAGAATCACTTATGGGTGGCCTTTAATGCAAGACTTGATTGGAGGAGGAGAAGACAAAATTGCTTTTCTAAGATCAAGGGGAAAACTCTCCTGTAGAGTGCAAGTGAGGAAATGGACCCATTTAATCTGACAGGGTGTACTGCAGTGGCGTGCTTGAGGCGTCAGCTTTTGGAAGGACACCGAATGGAGAGGCTGGGCCTTACAAAGGTGACTTTCCCATTTAAGCAAATGGGGAATTTTTCCTGAGAAAGAATTGCTGGACTGGGACAGGAGTGTTGTGTTGACATTTGGCTTACCACATTTAACCCCCAGAGCATCCTTTCCTTAATCACAGCTCCTCATCCTGGACCTTGAATGAGGTGGGAGCTGAGGTGCCCAGTGCTGCGGGGATCAGTACCTGTGGCTTAGCAAACATGTCTGTGGCACATTCTGTACAGTGCCAGACAAAAGTTTACACCCATTGTGGGAAGGCAGATTGTGGCTGGAGTTTATTACTTTAAGTTTCAAATGATTAAAAGGCAAGTAGGATCCATTCTCATCCCTGTACCTGCTTATCACTGCCTAGACTGTGTAACTGAATGAGCAAATAAACAGTGGTGTTTCCTAGAGCAGACCTTTGTGACAATATTTGCTTCACAAATTTCCACCAGCAAAAGAAAACATTTTTTTTTGTTTTCTAGTGGAAAAATGAGGCATCCTTTGTGCAGCGTTCTAGCCCAGAGATTTGGGGCCAAGTAAAAACAGGGAATAAAAACTTGACCAGAATAGCATTCCGATCTCTGTTACATGGCTGCAATTTGCACTGACGTCAGTGGGATCTGAGAAGCACCTTCTACCCTATTAACAGGTGGACTTACTGTGCCATATTACAGCTGTCATGCTGATAAAAGCTACTATACTGGCCATTGTGCTTGTTGCTATGCTGCAGTAAAACGCAGAGGAAAGTGACTGACTTAGGAGTTGCATTAAGTTGCACTATTTTAAAGTGTCTTTAATCCTTCATTGATGACAGCATCTCACTCTGATTCTTATATTCCATGCCTATGGCAAATTGCCAGCTTTTCCTGGCTGTAAGTTTGTGTTATACTTTCAGCACTTAGCAGGTACAAGAAGCCCTTACCAGAATCAGCATCAAAACTGAGACACAGTACTATACTTCCAGAGGATTCATCTATTTAGCTTACCTCTAGGAATATTTGTTTCTTATTCCATCCTCATTTTGAATAGTAAACCAATTTCTTTCAAGTTTCACAATAATTAATAGCGTGTTTCGCCCTTTTGCTGGCATGTTTTAATTGTGGACTTTGAATATTACCTGGGCCGGTGATACTGCCAACTGTTTATTATTAACGTGACAGTGAAGGACTGGCACTTGTATGAAATTTTACTACTTAATTGTGTTTGATACCATGATTAGTGATGGGAAATGCAGTCTGTAGAACTGATGCAAGACTTCACTCTTTCTGACGTCAGTGGGTGTGAAGTTATCCCTTTGGTGCACATGTCCTAGAAATTAAAGTGTACTTCAGCATCAACCTCCCATAAGTTGAGTATTATTAAAATGTACTATAACTTTCCCACTGACTTCTTCAATGCACTTTGGCTCACACCCTTAAAGTACACTCCAGTCCTTGGCATACAAATCCCTTGACACCAAAGAACAGCCTTGAGGACAGGAGTCAGAGCATTTAGATCCAGAACAGGCCTATTGGCTCATTCCTCCTTGCCTTTGATAGTGCTGACTTGGCCCTCTGAAATATACTGTGTATACAGGAAAATAGGGCAATAGTTCTGTCACTTTAAGTACCCCAAGCCAACATATTTTTAGTACAGCGGTGAAACCATTTCCTTGCCTAGTTACCAGTATGTTGTTTGTTTGATAAATAGACACGAAGGGCCAAATTTTTAAAGTCACATCTATGTTTGGGTACCTCAGTTTCTGGGGTTTCAATCTTAGATACTTTAGGTACCAAGACTTGAAAATGTTGGCCTAATTTTGGCACTTAATAACTTGCCAGGGGGTGGGGTGGTGTTTTTCTTTTTCCCTCAGAGAGGCTGAAGCACCTGCAGCTCCCTCTGAAGTCATTGGGAGCTGGAGGTGCTCAGCATTTCTGAAAATAAGGCCCCATCAGTCTAAGCCTGGGCATCCAGAAATGGAGGTACCCATTCTAGCCTGGATCTTGGAGAAAAACACAGGCTGGAGGAGGGAAAAATTTGGAGAAGGCACCAAGAACCCCATTTGGGTGCACATGGCTAGAATGCTAGCTACAGCACCTCTGCAAATAGTTCTCTTACTAAAGAGCCAGTTTAGTTTTAGAAACATGAACTCCTCATATGTTGTTACCCAGAATGCAGTACGTGAAACCACGGTGACAGCAGTCAGTCTAGTGAGACCCACAGCAAAGAAGAGAGTATGATTAACACGCAAACTAAGCAGCACCTAGAAATGGAGCAATCTGGTAGCATGGAGGGACTGGGAAAGCTGGATTTCCACACACAAATCTTTGCACGAGCAGGGAAGCAGTGGAAGCAAGAACTGAGTCATATACACACCTGACCATGGAAAATAACTATGAGAAAAAGAAGATAAAGCTTTTTTTACTACCTCTTTGGGGATGAGACATGAGTGAGACACTGGAACAGCCGATGAAAGTGTTTCTGTGCTGGGGTCTCAAGCAGAATGAGATTGTAGAGATAGGTGATCGTTTTTTTTACCCCAAACCAAGAAGCCGAAAAGAGAATAGATGCGTACACTACAGAGCTGAGAATTCTGGCATCCACATGTAACTTTGTAGCCATGATTTAGAGACAGAGTCGTTTGCGGCACACCTGATTCCAGCTTACAGGAAAGATTGTGAAGGGAAAACAGTCTAACCTTAGAGAAAGGCTTCCAAATAACAAGAGCAGCTGAACTGTCCAGGGAAAAGATCAAAACCATGATAGCCATTAGTGCAGAACAAATACACAGACTCAGGAAGCAGGACAGAGACAGACGAATTGAGACAGTAGGCATCATTGTCCAGCGTATGTACTGCGCAAAGCAACATAACAAGGAAAAAAGAAATTGCCCAGCCAATGGGCAGTGTTGCAAGGAGAGTGGGAAACACAACCACTTTGTCCCCGAGCTGCAGTGACCCTGGAAAGAAAGAAAAGCAGCAGGACATGCAACGATTTGTGGATGTAGAGGCTTCCAATGAAGAAAAGTATGTCTGCAGTGTGACTTCAGCAAATCCGAAGGCTATCTGTGTGCACTGACAAAGAAGGCGGTCAGCCATTCAGCTATTAGCTCAATGACCAATTTGATTCCGGCTGGATTGTGGGGTCAGCAGCAAATGTAATCCCAGCAACAGTGACATAGCAATATGAGACAGGAGAAATGTGGTTTCATTGTACACCACCAGGACTTGGTCATTCTGAGAACAGCAGGCTGTTGATAAGAAAACGTCTCCTGTTTCATGGCTATCGCTTGGAGTCTATACAAGTTGATGCACAGTAGCACCAGCTGCTGCTAGGTAGCAGGGCAGTGCAAGCCGTGGATTGGATTGTAGTACAACGCTAGAATATCCTCTGCATGAGAGAGGAGGAAGAACAGCCAGTAAGGGCCCTGCCCAGCATTTTAACAGAATATAAGGCCATATTTGAAGATGGGCACCTAAAGGGCAAGCTGAAGTTAGAAAACCATCCCCACATGCTGCCTGTGAGATCTCTTAAACAGTTTTAGCCTGATGAATCCACTGACAGAGCAACTGGCAAGTCTGAAAAGAAGCAAGACTGCTCAGAGGCATTGTTACACCAGTTGAAACTAGCTCAAAGTGGATCGGCAGCCTAATAGTGGTGAGAGAATCTCCAGGAAAAATGAGGATTTGCAGTGATCCAGAACCACTTAACAGAACATTGAAAATAAGTCATTATCCGGTTGAGGACCTGCTGCCTGACTTATCCAGGGCAAAAGTCTTCACACTTTGTGATGTTTAGAATGGATTCTGACAGATTCTGTACTGTGGCACTATATAATATATATATATATATATATATATATATATTTAAAATCCCTATTAGTTCTTCACTCTAAAACACGGAAAACCAAAAAATGAGAAACTGAAATTTTTCAGAAAACTGGCAAAATGTATCTGATTTTGCAGTGTTTTTTGATTTTTGACAGAATATGGTTCCATCAAAGTTTCTCTGACCAGCTCTGGTCAGCAGCAATGAAGTGCTACCCTCCTGAGTACTGGTAGAATTGAGTTGGAGAGGGGTCTCTGAGCCACAATGCCCTTCATGGCTGCATCTGGGGTGGAGCACCTTACACTTAACCGCCTTCAAAGGGCTGTTCCTAAAGTCACAATCTATTTAGCAGGTTTCATCTGAAAGAATTCCAAAGCAATTTACAAACTAAATAGGCACAGGAGTCCCTTTCCCCAACACTGAAAGGCAGCTGCCTTCGGAATACAGCAGTTTAACAGCACAGGGCAATACCAAGCAACATTTGAGAACAGAAAGTGAAGAAGAATGCTGTATCCAGTAAAAGCTGCACTGGGATTTTAGTTAGGCACTAAAAAGTAATTATCCAGATTGGGCTTTCCCCAGGACATGGGGGTTTAGCCCCCCCTTCTCTTGCAAAAGGTGCCATGGGACCTTGATGACACCAAGTGGTCAGAGCCTTGCTGTGCACCACAAAAAAGGGCTATCTCCAGTAGCACAGTGTTCCCCAATAGCATACTGCTATGTTGAGGAATATTGATCCCAAAGGGTGAGTACATCCTACTGAGTCATCAATACTGCAGCAGTTCTTGAGACTTCCTTGGAAACCTCTCCCATTCGTAAGGAGGACAAATCAGAAACAGACAGCGAGAATTAAACTGAATTTGCTGAGCGCAGAGCTATTGCGGGGTTGGGGCGGGGGGGAACGCCTTGATTCTGAGTAGCACACACATCTATCTACCTGTCTGATGACTGTTTGTGAAGGATGTTTGAGAAGACACAGGGTCTGATGGCCTCGGAGATCTGCTTGCTACTAGAGTTGATGTAAGAGGAGGGCTGGGCCCACCAGATGGGGAAGATGGCGGAGCAGTGGATTGAACAGTTCCACCTGGGTTTGTTCCTGTTATGGGGAATTTGGTGATTCCGGATTCTGAAGACCCCACTGGATGCATGCTGGATACTGCGCTGGTAGAAGACTTTGTGGTAGCAGGCTTTGTTGTGGTTTCAAGAGGCGGGATAAGTGAGCCTGAGGGAGTACCTGTCACAGGCTTTCCAGTTGGCCCAGATGTGCCAGCATTGTTGGTTGTCATGTTCACTGAAGAAGTGGATTTTATGGGTCCTGAATTGGATGTAGAAGCCGTGTTAGTTACTCCAGGTGGTGAAGCTGATGATGAACCAGAAGGTTTTGGAGTGGTGGTTCCTGTCCCAGCAGCAGATGAGGTGGTGGTGGTGGTAGAGGTAGGAAGAGTTGTTGTCCCTGGAGACCCAAAGGTACCCGAGGTGGTGTTTAACTTTTAGCTACAATTTCATGTTACTTTATTTTTGACAATGGCAAAACATTTTATTCATCAGAACAGAGCAAAAGTAAAGCAGGTGACGATTGATACAACAAGCCATAAAGTTTCAATATAAATAACCAAGAAAGGTGTGTGTTCTACTGGCTGGAGGAGAAGGAGCTAAAACTTCTCCCTCCTTGCAACTCTTTAAAAGTGGAATTATGTTCATGGGCAGGCAGAATTTTAAAACCTACTCAAGTCCAGGACTGGCATGAACCTTAACAATCAGCAGAAGACTTGTGGAGCCATATTTTAAAAGAGCCTCCGAAATGCACCAGCAATATTTGTGAGTGCGGGCAAATCTGCATTCATAAGGGGACTCCTCCTGTTTTTGCACATGCAAATTCTTGTCTGCATGTGAAGCTGCAGGTGTTTGCCCACACAGATGGGTGTGTCCTCAAGTATAATGGACACTTTTCAGGAAAACTTTTTGCCACTTGGCCTATTGTATCTTTCTGTGCACGTCTAAGCACCATTTTGCTGCTGTTATCCAAACACTGTTATAGTGGTGAGGTAATGCAGGATATCAACTGCAACATTCTGCAAGGTGTAGAAGGATATAAACCAAGAAGGATATTTGGCAAGGTGGCCTGGGGTTTCTGACCCACTCCGTGTATTTAATGTGCAATGCAATATTGGTCTGCCTTCATGCAGACTACGAGGTGCTCATCAAGCTTTCAAATCTGATTGAGTGTAAATTCTGTCCAACAGCAATTGCTAATGAGTATGGAAGGCACAAACTACCTTGTTCCAAAGAGGTTCCGTGATGGCCAGGGAGCCACGTGAAGAGTTCCATGCATTGCCCTATGGCTATCCTATTTTGCATCACAGCTCCATATTAGTAAGAGCTAAAGATCCCAGAAGTTAATGTTCCATCTTGACCTGAGTAGGAGGCTGCTGGGATCAAAATGAAGCACAGTATGCTGGGACCTCTTGGCTTCCCTTCTCTTTTTTAAAGATAAGAGCAGCTGCCATCTGCTCCTTTTTAAGCAAACTAGGAAAAACCTGTTAGCAAGGTACCCTTGTGACTCTCACTTTTGCCAACACTCAGCACCCCTCTTCATTCTGACCAATAAAATGAAGCATTGTATGTACAATGAAGCATGATCCTAGCTCTAGTCACATGTATAAAAAACATGGGAAAAGGAAAGTGAGCTGTCAAAGGCTAAATTCCTGGCACTTTGGGTGGGGGAGGCTGCTGTGAGTGTTTTAAGGCTACACTTGGAGTGCTCTAGCTGGAGAATAGAATAGAGCCTCCTATGGGATATGAATAGGCTTTGAATTGGGACCATAGTCTCTAATGTGTGATCTGTGTTCTCTAGATTGCCTGGGGCAATGTAAAATAACTCTTTGAGAACCATAAAACAATGGGATGCCCAGCGTACCTGTGGAAGGTGTGACCTCCACCGTGATCACAGTGTTTGCCTCCTGCAGACTCTCCTCATCGGTAGCAGTGGCCTATGCAGACATGAGAAGGAGATGACATTGGCTGCTTGCTTCATTCATTCATTCATTCTCCGAACATCCCCTGAAGTAATAGTACTCTGTACACTCCCACAGCACCTCCCGCTTGAGGCACTCAGAGCTTTATACACGTTCTATAACAATCCTTGCAGCATCCTTTTCAACTATGAAGTGGGGAAGCATTTTCTTTGCTGCTTTACAGATGGGGACTCTGAAGCATGAAGGGGTAAACTAACTTGCCCAAATTCACGCAGGAAGCCTGACAGATCTGGAATCAGAACTCAGATCTCCTGAGTTCCAGTCCTGTGCTTTCAACACTAGACCATATTTCCTCCAGAAATGCAGCAGGGAACAATCTGGCACTGGCAGAAGGATACACAATGTGACAAAAAAGATCTATCCTTTAAGAAAACCCAAAGGCATAAGCCCCCTTTCTTGCTCAGAGGGGGGAAAAAAACAAAAGGCTTTATCAGAGGATTTCAGAGTCCCCACAGCTGGTGCATATACCAAATCAGTAAAAGTCTTTCTCTCTCATCAGTCCCTTTTGGACGTAGCTCCCAGTTAAGTCATTGGTGACTTTGTGGGTCTACGGAAGGCAGATTCTTAATTTTAAGAAACATTTCCCCTCTTTGTGTAAACCCTTCTGTGTGCATGATCGTTCGGAAAAAGCCAGCTCAGAGGAAAAATCCTACACAAAAGAGAGCTCTTAACATTGTTACGACAATCGCAAATAACTTAAAATATTAAGTGCCAGAACCTCAGCTGTTGGAACATGGCACAGCTCCACTGATGCTGATTTACATCCACCAAGGATGAGTCCCTTAGTATTTCATCTTCCCAACAAGAGTTGGTCTGTATCCTAAATGGGAACCTGGTAGATACGAACGGTGTTAATTGCACAGTCAACCTTTTAGCTGGGTCCTAAAGTCTTCCAAGAAGACAAATTTTGTTTTCTTTTTGTTAAATTCTGTGCATATGTAACACCAGGTTTGCAATGATTAGTAGACAGCGGAGCTCATTGAAATCTTTCTGTCAATTTTTTTCCTGTGGAAAACTGGATTTTTGACTAAACAAAAAATTTTGTGAAAAATGTCTGATTTCTTTGAAACTTGTTAACTTTTCATTGGAAAACTGAAAATTTTGTTTTGTTTTAAATGAAAAGTTGAAATTTTCTACCGAAAACTCTGGAAAACTTTTGTGTGTGTGTGTGTGTGTTCGTTGAAATTTTCCATGGGTGAGAGGGAAAACCCATTTCTTGACTGGCTCTGGCAGACAGTCCTGTATTTTACAGGCTTCTCAGGCATGTTAGCTCTATGACAGGGGTGGGCAAACTTTTTGGCCTGAGGGCCACATCGGGGTTCCAAAACTGTATGGAGGGCTGGATAGGGAAGGCTGTGCCTATCCCTATCCGCCCCCTCGTACTTTCCGCCCCCTGACTGCTCCCCTAAAAACCCCCCACCCCTCCAACCCTCCCTGCTCCTTGTCCCCTGACTGCCCCCCCAGGACATCACCCCCTATCCAACCCTCCCTGTCCCCTGACAGGCCCCCCGGGACTCCCACGCCTATCCAACCGCCCCCTACTCCCTGTACCCTGACGGCTCCCTGGGACCCCCTGCCCCTTATCCAACCTCCCCGCTCCCTGCACCCTTACCATGCTGCTCAGAGCAGCATGTCTGGCAGCTGCGCCGCTCGGCTGGAGCCAGCCACGCCGCTGCACTGCCTGGCAGGAGCTTGCAGCCCCGCTGCACAGAGCGCTGGCTACACGGCGAGCTGAGGCTGCGGGGGAGGGGGAACAGTGGGGAAGGGGCCGGGGGTTAGCCTCCCTGGCTGGGAGCTCAAGGGCCAGGCAGGATGGTCCTGTGCGCCAGCTGTGGCCCTTGAGCCGTAGTTTGCCCACCTCTGCTCTATGATCACTATTACCTTGAGCTCCCTATCGCCCCAGCTGTTGTCTCATCATCTGTTTCTATTGTAAGGTCTCTAGGGTGGGGGCTGTCATTTTTATGATGTGTCTAGCTCTGATCGGGGACCCCAGATACTCTGGGAGCTACTGTAATACAGATAACTATCCTCTGCCTATCAGGAAAGATGACATACCAATACTGTTAGAGTTGCGGCTGACTGCAGCATTATGTTTGTCAGGACAAGTCCGTCTCTGGTTACAGTGAAATCACTGCTGTTTTGAATGCTGTACGTGATCTGAGGGTTGAGTTTCTGAAAAATTAGATAAGAAAGTGAGTTAAGCGTCTGCATTGGCTGTCTGTGTTTTCCCAGAAATTGTTGCCCATAACAATGAGCGGAATCCTTACTCCTATAAAAATGGTTCCCTCAGGGCGAAATTCACTCCCATGCAAAGAACCAGCACAAGGGAATCCTGTTGGGAAGGTTTAAATGGGATAAAAACGTTGCATAAGCCTATTGCTGGGCTTCTGGACTGAGGTAATTGTTGCTGTATCTCTATATGTTGTTCCATCTATATATGTCCTGTTCCTGTCACAGGCTGGCTGGCCCTTTAGAGCAAGCTAGGCTGAGCAGCTGAGCTATCCCTCAGCTTCACTGGTGATGCAGTGAATTAGTGATCCCAGCTGGGTGCGATGGAGCTTAGTTACAGTGATAGACCTCAGAACAAGGATGATTTAAAAGGAGCTGTGAACTCAGCCTGGAGAGGAGACCAGAACAAGGGGAGTTCCCTCTCTGGGAAGGGCCTGGGGGAGTCAGGCTGGAAGGCCCACAGGGATTAGGGTAGGTTCCTATGGGGGAGCCTAAGATGGGGCCTGCAAAGAGCAGGGAGATCCCTGAGCAGGGGACCTGCTAGAAGGAAGCAGCATAGGAGAAACTTTGTGGAGGGGCTGAGGGAAAGGGCCAAGAAGCAGTGAACGTCAGTGGAACCCGAGTGGGTATTTATTTGGACTTGCAGAGGAAGGGGGCTGAACTTAAGAGGAGACCTGACTGGAGGGCCAGGCCATGGAAGACTTGGAGAGAGACAGGCCATCACAGGCCTGAAAAAATGGTCAACAAAGGGTGCAAGAGAGACAAAGCCCACCCTGTGCAATGCTGCATCCAAGCCTGAGGGAGTGCCCCTGAGGTGAGGGTGCACCTTAACAGGTACCCATACTGTGTTCCTGGCTGCCCTTACGCCAATTAAAACTGTCAATCTCCTCTCTTTACCCAGGATCAATCACTCTGTTGCAGACAGATAAATACCTATCCTCGCTTGCTCCTATCAGTAATGTCCCCATCAAGCTGAGCCGTCCTTCAATGTCTGAGGAAATGATGGGCCTTGCAGTGAGACTGAAAGGCTATGAGATCCGGACTTGGGATTTCTGGGCTTCCCTGTCACAGTGGATGCCATCAGCAGCTTTCGATGGGCTTGATCTGGTTGCCTCTCAAGTCAGTGGCAAACCCTTCCCTCCTATCCCCCACCCCCAATCCAGATCCACGCATGAAGTATGTAGAGTAACAGACCAAACCCTTCCAGTTCCTTACATTAGGGAAGTCGTCATCAGCTGCAAAGATCTTCAGGGGTATTGAAGGTGCTTTAGAGTCCATGACCAGACTGAGAGTGGCCAGCCCGGCAGACACCGTCCCTGTGTACCTGGAGTTTTCAAAGTATGGTGCGTGGCTACTTTTAGCGATGACCTTGATCTCTACTGTGGTGAAGGAGTATCTCAGTGCATTGTTGGCCTGGGTGGCCTATAGAGAAAGGAGACAATACAGACACACAACTATTCCCTTTGTTGGTGAGACACAAGAGGATGTGGGGCCAGATCCAAAGCCCATTAAAGTCAAAGGGATTTTTTTCTGTTGATCAAATGGGCTTTGGATGAGGCCCATGATGGGAGGCTGGGATAGGACTAAGTTAACATTTAGAGCAGGGGACTGATGGTTAGAACTGCTGTGTTCTAGCCCAGTCTCTGCCACTGGCTTTCTCTGTGACCTTGAACAAGTCTCTTAACCTTCCTGTGCCTAAAATTTTCCCACCTATCACATGGGAGGTGCTTGAGGCTTAATTTATATATGTAAAGTGCCTTCAGTTCTTCAATGCCAAGGGCTACAGAAGTGCAAAATATTACTAGGATAGGATGATCCAAGCCAGCAGACACGGCTATGCTGCATAACATCAAGAGGTTTCACCAGCAGCTGTGTTTACAGCCTGAAAATCTAGAGCTTGGCACATATTTTTTTTCCCAAAAACGGTTTAAAACTCTTGACTTTCCTTTGATTATATTCTAGTTGGAAAATGAGCTTATTCATATGGGCAGACTAAATAGCTGCTTTTGTGCCCACACAGATCATGCCCAAGTCCCCAGCACTAGTCCTTTCTGTTAAGTTATGATCATTTTAACCCAGATGGATGGCTCTTCAGTTAAGGTTGCTTCCTACATGCTGATTTGAGGGCACAATCCAGTCATCTTTACGCAGGTCAAAATTCCCACTAAGAAATCCCAGCAGGAATTTTGCTTGTAGGAACAAGGCAGGATAACACCCGTTTCCAGACACCTGTCGCACACTGGATGCTTCAAGAAGAAATCCTGTGTTTAATTACTCTTCATCACAAGCCGAAGCACTGTGGTTTCCTTGACTCCTAGCACATGTAAAGTCACTGTCCTCCTGGCCAGAAGCTCTGGAGCTGAGACCTGGGGTTCTGGAATGTCAATAGACTTACCATGACATGCAAAATGAACGTGTCTGTAGTATTTGCTGCTTTGTTCATAGTTATATTCCCTGTATCACTATCCAATAAGAATACATCGTCCTTGTTTCCTAAAGACAATGGGAAGGTTAATTAGGACTAGTGTTGACCATAAGAGATACTTTAGTAAATGTATCTAGAGCTTTAAGAGATTTCGCTGTGGCTTATGTGTTTTGCACCTCGGATATTGCAACCCATGACATCATCTCCTTATCACCCTTGCCAGGCTTTAGGACTGGGGACACGTAACATGGACACAGTGTTACCTCAAAGTGTAGATTCAGCCTGATGAGAACAACAGGAAGACACATGCAAGCCTGACCGGAGGTAAGAGAGCAACACTTCTTATTTAAGTTGCACTTAAGTGGCTCCAGCTGATGTATGAGGCCGACTGTGCTAGTACTTACATAGTAAGAGCCAGTCCTTACCTCAGAGAGCTTACAATCTAAAAGGACAAAGGAGGTGCTCCCCTCATGTTACCGATGCGGGGGAACTGAAGCACAGAGAGACTAAGTGACATGGTTAGGGTCACCCAGGAAGTTTGTGGGGCTGAGCCAGGAGTTGAATCTAGGTCTCCTGGGTCCCACTCCAGTGCCTTAGTGACAACACAAGCCTTGGGAAGGAATGAAGAGATTTTTTTACAACACAGTGGGACACGTCGCTCACTGTCAGCATCATGTTCCCTACTCAGTTCTGCACTGCCATATGGGTATGCAGCTAGGCCACGCCTTACAGAACAAATTAAAAAGATCAGAGAACTAACAATCTGTCTGATATGGATGAATTGTATTTGTCAATCAACTGACCTCTTTTTTTAAAAAAAACAAAACAAAACAAAAAAACGTTGACTGAAATAATGTGCTGTTTGACCATGGAGAAATCAGCTGATTATAGTCCAGCCTTTATCTTTTGAAATCAAGACTAACGCATGGAATCCCAGTCAGAGCTTTTCGCAATGTCCAGTGGTGCGAATACAAAATTCTCAACTAAAAATGAAAACACAGAAGGTTTCAGGAATTTTTGGTTCAGGCAGGTTGAAGACTAGCTGGAATCAGTGTGACTGGAATGGAGAAAGTCAGCCCCAGCCATTAGGATAAAGATCTGTATCAGCTGACAGAAAAGAGCTTCTCCCTCTCCCCTCCCCCCCCAAACAAACACACTGCGCTGAGCTCTGGTTGTAGTGATGTGCTGCTCCTTTTCTCCCCGTCTCTACAGTCTAAAGAGACAAGAAACCTATGAGGTTCCCACTATGTGTCTATACAGCACCTAGCACAATGGAGGTCCTAATTCTATCCTGATGGGGCCTCTAGACACGACAGGAACACAGGCAATTAATTGCAATAATTATTTTTCTGATCTAGAGCTACATTGCTGTGACTAAATATTAATTCTGAGGATTCCCCCCACTGGTGAGGGAAACTTGACAATATTACCAATGGGAAATGAATGTTTGGGAAGATAGGAACTTTACTCACCATCAACAATGCTATACACTATTTTTTCATTCAAAGTGTAGTCAGGGTCGATGGCATAGAGGGGCCCAGGTTTTAGGATCAGCGGTTCAGTCTGCAACAACAAGGCGAGACTCTTAAAAACAAGACACTAGATGCCTGCAGAACTTTCCAATCCAAGTGATACTTAGCTCACGTGCACTCTATTACTGGAAAACACAATGCTTATTGCCAGGGGTTGACTATTGCAGAACAGAGACGACAGAGAATAGGATTTGGGGTTGTGTAGCTCCTTCCTTGCTCTAGGTATGCATCAAAAGCAATGAACCCTCTGCTGTTGGGAATTTTCAGTCTCAGTGGTTGACTCAGACTTGCCACTGCACTGACATGTCCTCATTTATGACTGGCGTCAAAAGCCTGCTCATGACTAAGTGATACAGCTGGTACTGGGCATGATCCTTGGGGGAGAGGGTGACTTATTGTTCAGTGTAACCAGTCTTCTCCCAGCCTCCCCAACATGCATTATTCTGCTGACCATAGTCTCAAATAGTTGCTGGGGAAAACAAACCATGTTTCACTGTAACCTTCTTCCGTGTGGGGTGTGAAGACATGCAAAGAGCTGTCTCATGGAACAAAGCTGAGCAAACCCCACAAAGGGTCCAGTCCTGCAGCCCGTCCTCAGGCAAGAGAGAGACCAATGTATACCAGTATCTGATTCAGAACAGATTTTCCAAACGCCTCATGAACTGAGCTGATCAATGCTAGACAGGTGTTCAGAGTTGATGTTCTAGTGTCATTATTATCGTCCCTCACTATTGAGAGGGAGTTACCGGAGCTCGCATTACAAAGCCTTAATTTCCCAAAGGGCTTTTTGAGCAACTGTTTTGCTAAGCACATCCACACTGACTCTATGCCAATGCTCTCATCTCTCTTAGGATGGTAATACCGTGCTGTAAACTCAAGCAACAAGCACGTCTGATGGAGTATGGTGATGGCATAGATACGGGCTGCATCACATGGGTGCAGCAGCAGGCATCTCTCCTAAGCTTTTTCAAAGAAAGGGCACCGTATTGAGGGCTGGATTGAAGCCGTAGGCACACCCCGACACTGGGGCTGTTCCCATGGCCTACACCCCAGTAGAGGAGTGAACTAGAGGGGTGGTCTCCTCCATGCTTCCAGCAATGAAAGGCAGGATGGCAGGATGCCTGCCAAATATGGCAAGCCCCTTCCCCAAGGAGTGGACCTGGTCTGCTCCCTGATGGTGGCTGCAGGACCAGTTGGCTTCCTCCCTGTTGACTGTGCTGCAGACTCAGGGAGAAGTCACTGCCTTGACTTACGCCTGCCTCATGTTTTCAAGCTTTTCTGCACCACGATGGGAGCTAGGAATATAGTAATTTAAATCTGAGGTTCCAACATCACGTGAATCCAGGAACCAGGGCCTTAGGCCTCTGATCCGATCGGGCCTGGACCATATCTGTGATGCTAAAGACCTGTCCTGGGATACAGACTGAAAGCATAAGCTCCTGTGTGGGCTGCCTACCGTTTTCTCTGAGATGTTGACCCTTCCAATGTACCCGCTGCTGATGCAAACTTTCTTATCCGCATTAAGGAAAGTGCACGGTTGGAACCAGGGCGGTTTGGTGTCGGCTTGTTGGATGTCTATGTTTATTGTTGCAGTAGCTGTATTTCCATCTGCGCTGCCAGGTGCCCTGTCCTATACAGAAAATCAGAACATTCCTGTTAGATGCAAGGCATATTTCCAACCTTAGAACCCCCTTCCCGGAAGCCCCTGCAAAATCTAATGGGCTGGATCCTTAACTGATGTAAATCAGTGTATCTTCATCGATTTGTTTTTTTCCAATGGAGCTATGCCAGCTTATACACGCTGAGAATCTAGCCCTGCAACTATTGTTAGTATGACAATTACAGCTATGTTGGTGGATAGAATACCCACCAGGACATAGCAGCTGTGAATAATGAAATGTTTTGCTCACATATAAAACTCACCCTTGCATACAAGATTAACTGCATAAATTTATATTTGTCATAGTCCAGGGTTTTGTGCAAGTAAATGCTTGGGTTATTAATTCCTTGTATGTTAAAGTAGTCAGTTGCTTCCTGAAAAACAAAAGGGGGCGGGGAAGGATGATAGCTGTCTCCATCACAGACACACACTCTGAAATACTGTTAGCTGCTTAACATATATAACATCCAAGGCGGGGTATTTATAGGAGAAATACATGCATAGTTCATCTGTTGATGCTTTGAACTCTTTTTGGTCTCTTGCTAGTAAAATGGAATCATCTCTGGCATTTCAGTATGGATCATTAGTGGAATTTTGAACATTCTTCTCTCAAAATGATCATAGGGCTGAATTCAGATTTAAATTAGTGGAACAGAGAGCAAAACTTGGCACATCGCTTTCTACTGTAGTCGGAAATAACAGGCTTGGCTTCGCTCTCACTTACACCAGCGCCTTTCATAGCATTCTTCCTGATTTATACCATTTTGAGGCCAGAATCTGACCTGATGGGTAAAATTCTGAACTCATTTACACCTGTTTAACTCCATTAAAATCAGTGAGGTTTCACAAGTGTAATTGATGCAGAACTTTGACCCCCATCTGCCCTTGACATGATTCTCTTCTTTTTTTGTTTGAAAAAAAGTTTTTATCCATTCCTTTGTTAATTAAAACTTAAAACAAACAAAATGACAAAACACCATCCTTTATACTGCAGATTGGCATCAGTTTAACTGAATATAAATTATCCATTGGTCTTTCAACAAAATCCTTAAAGATGAAGGCTGATCTTGTGGCTAAGGCCCTGGACTGGGGCTCAGGGGATCTGGATTCAGTTTCTGGCTTTGCTCCAGACTTCCTGTGTGACCTGGGGCAAATCCCTTAATCTCTCTGTGGCTCAATTCCCTGTCTGTAAAACTGGGGTAATCGTACTTCCTTTCCCACTCTGTCTGCTGACCTATTGAGAGTCTAAGCTCTTCAGGACAGGGTCTCTCTCTTACTGTGTTTGTAGTACAGCCTAGTACAGTTCTTCCCCAACCTTGTGTTGGCTTCTAGGCACTACTGTAATGTTAATGCTGAAGAGGTGCTCTGGTAATATATATTTTTTAAGTGTGAATTTTTGAAGAATTAATTATCTAAAACATGGATTTCTCTGTTTCACTAGTGCCTCCTTGCTCTGTCCTTGCTTTATCTTTCTGGAAATCTCACATGTACTCCAGCAGGTGAAATAACCAACTCTTGTTGAATGTCCCACTTGTCACCTGTCTCAAAGTTGGTGCCAGTGTAAATCACTAACAAAGAGTTCTATGCTTTTGCAATGAACGTACTCACCGGGGTGATCGCTGTAAGTTCATATTGTATGTTGTCCAGATCAAGGTCGCTAGCAATTACGCTCTTCTCGGGTATAATGATCGTATTCACTTTTGTATCCTCAAAACAAATATACATGATTATTTTTCCATTTTGGCAAATGGTCACATGCTGGATATAGTGTCCTCACTGGTAAATCCTTCCTAGTCCCCTTGTGCTGTATGGGTCAGTGCTCTTAAATTAGAGAGAATCCTCCCACTGCCACCTCTGACCAAGTTTAATTGACATGGTGGTAAAAATGCTGGATGCCCCCAGAGCATTGTCTACACTAGGGCCCTTATCGGAACTGGTGTTGCTGAACTGAGATGGTGCCAGCAGAAGTGTGTATTCTAAAATTCCCTGGTGTAGATGTGATAGCTGCCATCTTGGCTGACACACCAGGGACTTAACCAGAGCTAAAAGCAGGAGCTGCTGTAGCTTGAGCTAAAGAGTCAAGTTTTCCCAAGCTGTGGCTGCAACAGGTTCCTATCCTCTGATCAGTGTGACCAAGAAGGGCAGGCCTCACAAGAGGACCTGAAGTGTTTTGAAACCTGCCAGGCTCTCTATGTGGAAGATGGGTGACACCTGGTAGCTAAGCCTGAATATAAACTGCCTGTTTTTTTTAAGATGCGTCTTCTCTGTGCAGAGCTTTTGTTCTGACTAAATAGTACTTTGCTTTATGAAAGCTGGCTGGTCGCTGATGAACCTTGTCCTTGCCTCTGAGAGAGCAGGACTGCAGGTGCTGAACTCAAGTCAGTTCTGCTGAGGTGATCACAGTGAATTGCAGAAATCTGCAGCCTAAGTCTGAAGGGAGAGGATAGTGATAAGCTATTACCAGCAGGACAGTGGGGTGGGAGGAGGTATTGTTTCATATTCTCTGTGTGTATATAAAGTCTGCTGCAGTTTCCACGGTATACATCTGATGAAGTGAGCTGTAGCTCACGAAAGCTCATGCTCAAATAAATTGGTTAGTCTCTAAGGTGCCACAAGTACTCCTTTTCTTTTTGCGAATACAGACTAACACGGCTGTTCCTCTGAAACCTGCCCCAAGAAAGTCGACCACCAGAGGCCCGAAACTTGGGTGGGATCCCTCAAGGCTGCCCATAAGAGGTCAGAGGTGCAGTTACCTTAGGAAATGTGACAGTCAGCACAGAGGGGGACCTGTAACGTGTACTGAGAAGTGGGTTCCATAGACAAAGCCCCTGGAGAGCTGCACATTAAGGGGTGCCACTCTTGGCTTCAGTTTGCTTTCCTCTGTGTGCTTTGATTTTGGCTAAATAGGTTAAGTACTGATTTCAGAAGTACTGAGCACCTACAACAAAACAGCTGAAGTCAACAGAAGCAGCAAAGATTCAGCACTTCTGACAGTCAGGTTTTAAATGACTTTGACTGCACGGGCAGTAATTCTAACCTGAAATGTCAAGGAAGCATAGTTCTCTAATTTTCATGGACGAGAACAGGTTTCATACATGCTTATAAATCATTTTCCTCTTGCCAAATTAGAGTCCCACATGAATTGGAATTATCCGATCTGTAATCTTCCCTTTATTATGACAACACTTTAATAAAACCCTTACCTCAGGAACCTTTGCAGTGATATTTGTTTCCTTGAATGTCGGGCTGTTATCATTCAAATTGCCAACTTTTACTACAACATTCACAGAATTGACCTGGTCGGGAGGTAGGAAGAGGGGAGAAAAATCACAAATAAAGTAAGTCCGTTCGGAGCAGCACTGACTGGTAGGCATGAGCTGAGAAGACCATGTGAGAATCAGAATTGGAACTGGACTACATGTGCATTTGGGCTGTAGGCTGAATGAAGGCCTGGGTTTGAATTTGGATATGATGGCACTGAAATCTCATGGGCAGTGGGTTGTTTTTTTTTTTTTTTTTTTGCTCTTTCCAGGAGAAGACAACATTTTAACCATGAGAATGAGCAGTTTCTCACAAGGGGTATGTGTTGTGAATAGTTAACATCCGAGCCAAGAATGGTGTCCTGTTTCTAGTTTCTATCTAGCAATATGGCAGCATATTAGAAATTATACTCACCTCGACACCCCCTTTCCAGCAAAGCAGGGTTACTAGTAATACATTTTCTGCCTGTGTTTTAAAAACAGAAACAAAAAGTCTGTCATTTTAAAAACATCCATTGTGGCACCAACATTCTTCTCAGGTGTGGCTCACTCCAGTCCTGATGCAACAAAGTAATTGAGCACATGCTTTTGTGCATTTTAAGCACGAGCTTAAATCCCTTTTACTTCAGTTGGGATTTAGGGACAAATCTCATTTGAAATCAATAGAATTTAAGTATATGCTTAAAATAAAGCTAGTGAATAAGTGCTTTGCTTCAGCTGTGTTTATACTTTTTTTTTTTTAAGATATTTTTCTTTCTTCCTTTTACAGGCCTTCAATTAGCTTCTGATCTCCGTTACACTGGTGTCAGTGTGAAATCACTCCATTGACTTCAGTGAAGTTACTCTAGATTTACATAGCTGCAGATAGGATTGGACACTTCCCCCCCATGCGTGATGCTAGGGCTTGTCTACACTACCCGCCGGATTGGCGGGCAATGATCAATCCAGCGGGGGTCGATTTATTGGGTCTAGTCTAGATGCGATAAATCGACCGCCGAGCGCTCTCCTGTTAAGTCCAGTACTCTACCAGGGTGAGAGGCGCAGGCGGAGTTGATGGAAGAGTGTCAGCCGTCGACACACCGCAGTGAAGACACCACAGTAAGTAGATCTAAGTATGTCAGCTTCAGCTACGTTATTCATGAGGCTGAAGTGGTGTAACTTAGATCGATTTTCCCCCTCCCCCTCCCAGTTTAGACCAGACCAAAAGTGGGGCAGTGAGAGAGAGTTCTTTGACGCTGATGCTCAGCGAGGTTTCTGTTTATACAGATACCAATCAGTCCAGCTCCTTTCTTCATGGCTACATCTGTTCCCATAGCCAAAACCCTGTCTATCTGACTGCAGAATTAACATCCACCCTGCTAGAGTGCCCCTTCATTGCTCCCACATTACAGTGAGTCTGGCTGGAAAATCTGCAGCAGATCCAGGTAAATTAAACAGAGGTTAATATTGAACAATGAGTACAATGTCCCCCACAGAGTCTGTTTTTACAGGAAATCTTTCATTGTTCGATATGCTGCAGATTTGTACATTGGGAAAAGCAGGACTGCATTGCAGAAACTATTGAGAGGGTGGGAAGGAGCTGGAGGCTTTTGTTGCTGGGGGACAGTTTAGGATTGGCACATTTGCTGGCTATTAAAATAATCGGCAGTGAAATAGTTAACAACTCTGCCATTTAAATTGCTATTCAATTTCCAAATTAGAACTCCACTAAGGTGAACAGAATCATCTCGCAGCTCTAGACTGTTGTCATTTTGTGTATGTATGTGTACGATATTAAACCAGCCGTGGGGAGTATCCAAACTCCACTGAAATGCAGTTACAAGTCTCTGCTTTAAAACCTGCACCATATTCTCCAACACACCTTATGGACCCCTGGAATAGACTTCCTGGGTAGGGAACTTAAGAACAGGCATACTGGCCAGACCAGTGATCCATCTAGATGAGTAGCCTGTCTTCTGACAACGGCTGGTGTCATATGCTTCAGAGGGAATGAACAGAAAGGGCAGTTATTCAGTCCCAGCTTCTGGAAGTTACAGGTTTAGGGACACCCAGAGCATGAGGTTGCTTCCTTGACCATCTTGGCTAATGGACATTGATGGACCTATCCTCCATGAACATATTTAATTCTTTTTTGAACCCATTTGTACATTTGGCCTTCGCAAAATCCTCTGGCAAGGAGTTCCAAAAGCCGATTGTGCATTGTATGAAGAAGTACTTCTTTGTTTAAAACCTGATGCCAATTAATTTCATTGGGTGACTCCTGGTTCTTGTGTTATGTGAAGGAGTAAATAACACTTTTTTTTCTCCACACCAGTCATGGTTTTATAGACCTCTATCATATCCCCCCTTAGTCGTCTCTTTTCTAAACTGAATAGTTCCAGTCTATTTAATGTCTCCTCATACTGAAGCTGTTCCATCCCCCTAATCACTTTTGTTGCCCTTCTCTGTACTTTTTACAACTCTAATATATGTTTTTGAGATGGGGTGGGTGAACAGAACTGAATGCAGTATTCAAGGTGTCGGTGTACCATGGATTTATACAGTGGCATTATGATATTTTCTGTCTTATTATCTCTGCACCTGTCGGCTTTCCCCCAGTGTTCCCTTGAAAAAGAGAGAGTTGGTGGGGGCAGAAAAGGTTGAATTTACGCATACAAGTTCCCTGTTCAGGATACCGAACGTCAGTAAAATGGAAAAGGTGACGCCATTTTACAAGCCAGCTGTGCTGTGACTGTCAGAGTTATTAGATCATGTCCCTTTCATGTGACCTGTACTCTATGAAGAGTGTTTTACAATATTAACTCATCTGCTAATTGTCTCTTTTTTTCCAAATAAAAACTTACCTCATAATCCAAGGACTTGGTTAGACTCAATTCTGTGCCAATAATGGTAAACGATCCGGAGTCGAGTGAGTTCTCAATTGTTACTGTGACACCAGGCTGCATTGTAATGGTGGTAACAATAGCCCCCAGCTGATTATTCTCGTCTATTGTTGGGTTCTCATTTCCTACAGAACATTCTGGAAAAAGCACACAATCATTTGTATCAACGTTGGCACAAAATTGTCAGCCAGTTCTCTTTGGATATTGGAACAGTCAGACTGGATCAGACCCATGGTCCAGCTAGGTCAGTACCCTGTTGCTGGCAGTGGCTAGCACCAGCTGCTTCAGAGGAAGGTGCAAGACACCCTGCAATAGGCTGTTATGGAATAACCTGCTCATGGGGAAAATTTCCTCCATGCTCGTAGGACTCAACAGATGCGGACTTACCTGTGGTGCTCTGTGCAAGAACTTGTGTTAAGGGCAGCAGCAGAAGGAGTGCAACAGCAGGGAACTGATTAGAAACTGCCATGCAGGAAGCAGAAGGAAGCCCACGTCTTTGGACAAATCTAATCCACCACATTTTTTCTCCGTATTGTCACTGAAGCGTGCTCACCCATTCGCTGCCCCAGGAAGAAAAGAACACTGCATGTCTGGAGCAGACTCCCACCTTCGGCACTTCAACCTTTGCCTCCCTGCTTTATTGTTTAACTTATTTATGACTTATTTACTGGTTCCTGTTCTCAGAATGCGATAAGCTGTGAATTCCGCATTCTTCTTGGCTCTGGATCTCTGGATTTTTAACTGCGTTAGGATTTGGTGTTGAATACCCCCAAATAAATATAGTGGAGGGGGGGTGGACGTTGGCACCTGTTACGTTGTCTGTCTCCTCCAGTGCTCCTCAGTGGCAGGTGCGATTGTAATCACAGAGTGCATGCTAGAGTGTTGTACTGAGCCAATGATTTGGAGCAGGGCTGCACTTCAGATGTACCACAGAGACTCTCTGCTTCATGGTAGGGTCACCAGATGACCTGTTTTTTTAAAGGGACAGTCCCTTTTCTGGGGACTTTTTCTTATATAGGTGCCTATTAGCCCTCACCCCCATCCTGTTTTTTCACAGTTGCTATCTGGTCACCCTACTTCATGGGAATGTTTCATGGTAGAAATAATATGGGCTTAAGCAAACCTTCCGTGTCAGATCTCAACTCACTACTAGCCAGTACTGTCCTATGCAGCCCACATCAGGTCTATGCTCAGCTCCATAGCAAGCCGTGTTCTCCAGCACATTCTCTATGCTCTCCTCCTGCTTCTCATAGCTCTCTGGGATGTTTAACTACAATGAAAGATCTTGGTAGTGCAATGGACTGGGAGCTAGAACTCCTGCTTTGTTTGGACCAGCAGGAAGCCTCTGTTCTCCTACTAACTCTGCTGCTTCTTTCTTTGGTGGCCTGGAGCAAATCAGGTCCCCCCCCACACACACATTTGTAATATGTTGATAAAACTTCTCTACCTCAGAGGGATGTTAGAAGGCCTAAATTTTCAAAAGTGACAAGTATTTTTTGGCTGCCCGACCTGAGACACCTTTGAGGGAGGCTGATTTTCAGAGAGCTGGTGCTTAGCACTTTATGAAAATCTACGCTCTTTAAACTGGTTTCAGAGGAACAGCCGTGTTAGTCTGTAGTCGCAAAAAGAAAAGGAGGACTTGTGGCACCTTAGAGACTAACCAATTTATTTGAGCATGAGCTTTCGTGAGTATTTTCCACTGAATGCATCCGATGAAGTGGGCTGTAGCTCACGAAAGCTCATGCTCAAATAAATTGGTTAGTCTCTAAGGTGCCACAAGTACTCCTGCTCTTTAAACTGTTTCAAGCTGGGTGCCCAGAATTGCCGATCACTTTTGCAAATGCTGCAGGCTGCCGTATCTGCAAAGTATTTTGCCATCCTGGGCTGAAAGGCACTGGTGCATTCAGAGTATTCAAATTCTATCATAGAACGTTTCCCTTTGTCTCTCTATAAAACTACTGGAGCATGAATAAGTCAGTCGATTCCCATATGATCATGCACCATGTCAGAGCCTAACAAGTGATGGAGTTACTAACAAAGATGCTAGTTAGTGAGAAGATTGCTCAATAGAGGAATATGTGCTTTAAAATCTCATTTGTGTAAAGAGGCTCGCGCTGCATTATGGTAACACCCTGTTAAATAGAGACCTGATATTACTGTATGATGTTTCTCTGAACAAAAACTCACTGTTGTAATCATTATTGTTTTGTCTCTTATATTTACTTGGCAAGGATTTGTAAACCTAAAACTTTCTAAATAGGTTTTAAAAAAATCTTATTAAAAGGATCATTGAAGTGAAAGGGTGAATGACTGGAGGCTGTAACAGAAGAATGCATGGACTATTGATTTACTGCAGTGGTTCTCAACCAGGGGTATATGTACCCCTGGCGGAATGCAGAGGTTTTCCAGAGGGCACATCAACTCATCTAGATATTTGCCCAATTTTACAACAGGCTACGTAAAAAGCACTAGCAACGTCAGTACAAACTAAAATTTCATACAATGACTTGTTTATACTGCTCTGTGTACTATACACTGAAATGTAAGTACAATATTTATATTCTAAATGATTTATTTTATAATTATATTGTAAAAATGAGAAAGTCAGCAATTTTTCAGTAATAGCGTGCTGTGACACTTTTGTATTTTTGTGTCTGATTTTGTAAGCAAGTAGTTTTTAAGAGAGATGTAACTTGGGGGTTCACAAGACAAATCAGACTCCTGAAAGGGGTATGTTAGTCTGGAAAGGTTGAGAGCCACTGATTTTACTGCGCTTGAAGAGGAGGACAGGTCTTGTGGTGAAAGCATTGGACTGGGAAAATGAGAGAGGATGGCTCTGTTTTAAGGCCCTGGACTGGCACTCAGGAAATCAGGGTTTAACTCCCTGCTCTATCAGAGTCCCTGGGTGATCCTGAGCAAGTCACTTAAACTCTCTGTGCCTCAGTTCTCCATCTGTAAAATAGGGATAATAAACCTTTCTTTGTCATGTCTATTTAAATTGTAAGCTCCTGAGGGTAGGGACTGTCTCTTACTATGTGTATGTACAGCACCTAGCACATTGAGGCCCTCATCGCAGGCCTGGTCTACACTAAAAAGTTAGGTTGACCCAGCTACATCACTCAGGTGTGAAAAATCCACACTCCTGAGTGACGTAGTTAAGCAAACCTAACCCCGGGTGTAGACAATCTTCTGTCAACTTCTCGCGGAGGCGGATTACCTATGCCGATGAGAGAAGCTCTCCTGTCAGCGTAGGTAGTGTCTACATTGAAGTGCTACAGCAGTCCAGCTGCAGCATTTCAAGTACAAGCCCTCAGGTGAAATCTTGAGGTACTACCATAACACAAATAAAACAACTTCTAACTTGTCTTCCCTGCCTTTCCTTTGGATTTTCATCTGACTGCTTGTGACATTACCAGGGTACAATCTGGACTCAATTCTCCAGCCTGAGATGCCTTTTACACTGCTTTGCTGTGAGAGCAAACACTGCTGGTCAGCTCACACACAGCCTCCAGCATGTAAATTAAGCCCAGCTGTTCTGTATGAGTGCTATGGCCAGCTATTCATGAATTACACTCAAGCAACACCAGAAAATTCACAGCCCCAGACGTTCTCCCAGAAATGTGCATTTTGTACAGCCCAGCCCTCTCCTGGACAACACACGCTCATATAAATCCATCATTTCATTAATAGAAAATGATATGCACAAATTCTGTTCTCAAATGGGATTTCCCCAAACACTTCAGTCCAAACACACCAGTTTAGATAAAATAATAAAGCAAGTTTATTTACTACAGACAGATTTTAAGTGGTTACAAGTAATGAGGCATAAAAGTCAGAATTGGTTACAAAGAAATTAAAGGTAATACCTAACTTAACAAGCTAAGTGAATTCAAAGCAAAAGGTCTCTCAGCACATGCTTCAGCTGTCTTACTGGCTGAATTCATTTCAGATAGGATCCCTCCCTCAGTCCAAAGCTGTTACTTTGTTCCCTAGGTGTTGTGGTTGCTGAGGATGGAGAGAAAGGGAGGAATATTTTGGGGGCACCTGTTCCCCATTCTTATTCCCTTCTTTGAGAATCATCTCCAGCTGGGGTTCAGGAGACAAAGTGTAAATTTCTCACTCACACCGTTTTTCCTGCCAAAGAATGGCCACTTAACCAGGTGATGGTCCATTTGATTTTGTTGATACCTGGCTGAGGCATCAGTTTGCCTTTTTCTCTGATGAACTGGTTTGTGTCTGCTTCCCCAGATTTGGAATATGTCTCAGTAATGTCATACAGTAGAATTTTTTATAACTTTACATACAATGTTGCCACACTTATTTTACCAGGGCAATAATGACCAGTTACTTCTCTGTTTTCAAATGATACTTCACAAGGCATACTTTGTACAAAATTCACCATAGTCTTGTAATTGCGGTTACAGACGGTCATACTGCACATGGCAAAGCTTTCCTAAGAGGAATTTTACAGCAGTGTTTTGTGGCTTGGCCTTGAAGATAAGCAAAGATTTTTATTATCACTTGATGATAACCTGTCTTTTCATTCCCTTTGGGGCACCTGCCATTGGCCACCATCAGAGGACAGGATACTGGGCTTGATGGACCTTTGGTCTGACCCAGTATGGCCATTCTTATGTTCTTATTATACCCAGTATCTTGCACTCTCATGACAAGCCATTGTCCTCAAGCTTTAATTCATTTTGATGTTTCTTTGTGTGGCACACGTTGGCTAAAGATGTTTAAAAGGTTTGATTGCTGTAGTGAGCCAGCCACGAAGCAGAGTGGATTCTTTGTGGGATGCAAGGTCATTACTTAATGAGACAAGGCTGCCACTTTCAGGATAGAAGTCTTGAGGGCTGCAGAGAATATGGTGGCTTTTGTTAGTAGGGTATGATTCACTTATGAGAATCATTAATAGAAAAAAATTTACTGAGAATGAGACTAGATGAGTGTGAAAATAGGTTTAATCTCCATAACAGAATGGTGAGGTAACTAAGTACCTTACAAAGCAAGGAACTTGAGAGCTGGCTGTGAAATGGTTGATGGATAATTTGAAGCTTGTTACTTTCCTGACTCTTCGCAATTTGTATTTTAGGATGATATCTGTGACTAGGGACATAATAATGGTTCTCTGCAATCAGTGTCCCATTGTGCTGGGCAATGTGCATACACACACAATGACGTACTCTCAGGGCCAGATTAATCTTTTGTGGGCCCCGGCGCCTGGACTGGGGCCCCGCCCCCACACTCCACCTGCGTTCTGCCCTGAGGCCCCATCCCCACTCGGCCTCTTCCCCCAAGGCCCCGCCCAGCACTTGCAGGGTGGGAGGGGGCGGAAAGGGGTAAGCAGTGGGTGTGGCCTTGGGAGGAAGAGGCTGAGCAGGGGCAGGGTCTTGGGGCAGAGCAGGGGGTGGGGTCACAATCTGGGTGCCTGGGCCCTGTCTGAGTGTGGGCCTGGCACCAGTGTAAACCCGGTACTGGATACTCTGACCTGAAGAGTTCATGTTCTAAAAAAAGTGGGAGAAAGGGAGGATTATCTTCCCCTATTAAACCTTGGGAAATAAGGTGCAGAGATGAGGTGTGGGGGCTGGTTGAAAATCTTTGTCTCAATACACTTTTTCCATGGAAAACGGAGATTTTGATTAAACAAAATCTTTGGAAAGTGGCTGCTTTCTCCAAATTTGATTTTTTGATAAAAAGCCAAAAAAAAAAAATGTTTTCAGCACTTTTGTGGTTTTATGGAAATTTTGAAACTTTCAGCTAAAATTTGAACAAAAACTTCTTGTTTTCATCAGTCTTCAAGGGGGTGGGAACTCATTTTCCAATGACTTCTAAGGGTCTGTCTTCACAGAGAGTTAACCAGGCCTCTTACTTGGGTGTCATCTTTAACCTGTCTCCCTTCCACACACACAGCGCACACTGGAGTTTAGTGGTGCTTTCAGCCCAGACTGGCTGACTTGCCTAAGGCTTTAGGCTAAAACCTGAGTGCTGCTTTACCTCTGGCTGGTAACACTGCCCACACTGCAGTGAGGATAATCCGCAGACTAAATCCCTGAGTGCTGATAGTCCTCCGGTGCCTTCCAACAATTCCTCCCCACCGTGTCCCCAAAGGACGAACTCTCTCCTACAATTCACTGGGGAAGAATCAGAGTGGATCAGTTTACTGCAGCGCAGAGAACTATGGGATGTGTCCCCAGAAACCATAGTGACACGTGGGTGGGCACAGCACCAGTCCGGGCATGGTAGCTTGGGTAGGGGTTTGCAGGGGGGCTGCTTAAGCCTGGGTAGCAAAGACAGACCCTTAAGTGACCTCCCCAAGGTCATACAAGTAGTCTGTGAGGTGAACCCAGGTTTGACTAAGGAGAGTATACGCTGTACTAGAACAATCAGTTTAGCCAATCTGAACAAAATCCAATCATTTTCACAAGCGGTGGACTTTCTTCTTGCTGAAAAGACCAGGATCTCTGCAGATTTCTGTCCCCGCCCCCCCTTTTGGTTTGGTTTGGTTTTGCTCTTGGCTTTGTGAGATTACATTTCACCATGTCTTTTACCTGCAATGATTGTGTCACTTCTTATTTCTGCTGTGGAGTTGGAAAGCAATTTCTCATAATGGGGTTTTAAATACAGAAGGGAGTGTAAGAAATCTAATCTGAAACGCTCCTCTCGATATTCACCCCACTTGGCAAACCTTATGGGCATTCTTCTGTTTTGAGGATTATTTTCAGGGGGGAAGGCTGAATAACACATGCTTTTTTGCTGTGTGTTTTGCATGGAGTGCTCTGCTCCTTTACCTGCTGCTACTAGTGATTTCCAATCTAACAACAATTCTGAAGCTGTTATTTGCTTCTACCATCTTAGTCCTTGTTCTGCTGCTTGGCAATATAACAGCACACCATTTTTTACATCATTTTTCTTTCTTTTCCTCTGTCTCTTAGGTGCCTGCATCATCCAAAACTCAGCTTGTCTTCTGGTGGGAGACAGAGTCATATAAAGAGGAATGTAACTTTGTTCCGTTTGAAATGGGTGCAGAATGACAATGCCTTGTATTCACTGCTGTTCAGCTGGGCCAAAATGTTCAAACGTGGGGACCTAAAGTTAGGCCTTGTCTACACTTGGGGATAACCCTGATTCATACATCAGTAGCTAGCACTAGTGCTGACCCCCTAAGTGTAGATCTAATCAGGATAATCCTTGTAATCAGGGTGAACTCCAATAAGCGCAGCAGGTCCAAACCCCAGCTACACTGAGGCACCTTCCTCACCAGGCATGTAATCATATCTTAACTTTGCTTTTTAGCCGTTGAGTTAGCTGGCACAGTGCTGAGCGGCCAGTTTAGGGCAGTGCAAGTCCCACTCAGCATCATGTCTGGCTGGCACAAAGCAAAATGTGACTTAACTGACTGACCACTGCAGAAAAGGGCAAGGTTAGCATTGTGCCAGCTAACTCAATTGTTAAAGCCTGTTTAAACATGATTACATTTCCTAGTGAAAACCAATTCTTAGGGGTTAACACTAGAACAATTGCTGGACTCTGGCTGAATTGAGGCTATGTTTGAATATAGGCAAGATTTGAAGAGTCCAATTCCATGTTTTAGGCACTTAATTAAACATGTAGGGCTGAATTTCAATGGGATTTGGGCACCTAATTCACTTAAACTGCTCTGAAAATCCCAATCAAGGTGCTGTCAAAGCCAGGTTTGAAAATTTTAGCCATGCTGCTTTTAGTGGTTTAATCACATAAAAATTCCTCCAAATATTCCTTTGAGATTTTTCTAATGTTTTTGTAATAGAAAGTTACAACAGCATGGTTTCCCACATGCTGCAATAAATGGAAGCTGGCCTGTGAGATGTGGAAATGGTTCTTTAAGTGTTACATTAAGGGAAAGACATATGTTTGTGTAAGACTAAGTGCTTTGTAGATGTCTCTGAAAGAAAAATGAATGGTAGTTTTCTGATGAGCTACATCATAAACAGTCTTACAGGCAACATGGAATGATCTCTACATTGTTCTTTAGCTGCCTTATGTTTAGAGATGATAGCTGAATCTATTACTTCTGCATTAGAAGTAGATCCCTTGATCTTTTCAGGAAAGATAATCAAAACCATGCAGTGTGAGTAGCATGTACAAACTTGAGTATTAAGAATGAATTTCTGCTTTTTGGTTGGCTACAGTGCCTGTCTCTAACTGCTAGAAGACCAGTCCTGTAAACAGAAGGGCAGAATCTATTGGAAATTGATCCATATGTAGCTGCCATCAGTGTAGTATAGTTCTCACGGAGATCTTTGTCACAAAACCCACCGCCCATCTGACGTTTTCTGCTTAAACAAAAGCACTGATCTCTTTGTCTGTGTGATGTCTCCTGCTCTGTCTTTCTAACATCGGTGTACCAGAGTAGTGGTGAGACTCTCGCTGAACAAAGAGGACCAGATCTTCAGCTGGGCTAAATCCACTGACTTCACTAGAGCTATGCTGTGTGATGCCAGCTGAGGGGGGTGTGTGGGTGTGTGTGCGCACACGTACGTACACACATACATATATAGATATGGGACAGAGAGGGAAGGACATTTCTTGCCCTGACCTAGCAATCCCCACAGTGCTGTGCATAGCAGCCTTGCTCCTGTATTCTCAACTGCTTTCTGGTGCTTGACCAGAGGAACCAAAACACAAGCCAAAGCACAATAGATGCTGAAGAATTTTTATTAAAGTTTAGAAACAGTCAGGCCTGGAACAAAGTATTGTGTAAGCTGCTTCCATCATTCACGCACCATCTACTAACCCCACCCTCTATTTTACACTAATATACACAGTGCCCTTGATTACATGCTTTACTGTTATTTTGGCAGTTTCTGATTCCATCATTTACACTTGAACCTGATTCAGTAGCTTCCTTATTTATTTGTAGGCTGCACACGGAACCCACCCCACCAGGCTGTAGTTTATGGAGAGGTTTGGCTGCTGTTGTCCCCTTCATTTCTAGTCCAGAACAGACATGTCTTCTTTCATCTCTTCAATCAGTGGTTTGGAGGCTGGGCAAATGTATTGGCCGGTCATCTGAGTGGCTTCTCTTGCATCACTCTCTGACAGGCTGTAGTAGGACAAACAACAGGGAAGAAGTCCAGGATTCCACAGGGGAAGTGGACTAGAGGGTAGCGATGAGACTGAGTTACAAAGTTAAGGAAAAAAGTAAAATGAAACACCTGCCAGTTGCCCTAAATTATCATCATCCACCTGATGGTGGTAGACTACAGCCAGAGCAGGTCTCGTTGTACTCGGCACAGTACAAACACAAAGTAAGAGGCAGTTGCTGTCCCAAAATACTTACAACCTACAGGGACAAGATGGACAAAGGGTGGGAGAAGGCAAGTATTATCCCCATTTACAGATGGAGGAGCTAAGGCACAGAGAGATTAAGGCCATGTCTACACTGTAGGGACTAAAGCGGCCTAGCTACAGCATCATAGCTATGCTCTGAAAACCCTGCAGTATAGACACATCCTACTGAGACACAAGAGGCTTTTCCACTACTGTAGGAACACCACATCCCTGAATGACAGTAGCTGGACCAACTGGAAGCATTCTTCCATCAACATAGCTTCGGCCACACTGGGGGTTAGGTTGGCATAGCTTCGGCACTCCGTGGCTCTGGATTTTTCAGACCCCTGAGATCCATCACCATGGCGACCTGAGTTTTGAGTGTAGACTGGGCTACATGACTTGCCCAAGATCACACAAGAAATCTGTGGCAGAGCCAGAAACTGAGTGCGGATCTCCTGAGTCCCTGTCCAGTTCCTTAACCACAAGACCACCCTTCCCTCTCCTAAGGGGACCAGGATGGTTGATTAAATGCCAATAAGAAAAAATAGTGAGATCACCTTTGTGGCACTGTCAGTAACTTTAAAAATTAACTGATGACCTGGCTCAGAATATTTCAAATTCAGAAAAACTAAATAAAGATGGTATGGAAAATGAGTTAGAATAGTTAGACTTTTCGACAAGAAGTGGAAGATGGCTTGGTCCAGAATGTTAGATCCAGCCTCTCTACAATCAGAGAAATATTTTATTTTCCTCCATATTACTTCATTTTAATAACTACCTCATACAAGGGGTTTTTTAGCCATCGATCTCAAAGACAGGTAAGTGTCAGAAGGTGAAACTGAGTGTCGTATGCGCTTAGATCTCCATAAGAATAACATCAAAATTATCCTGAAGAATTGCATAGAATTTAAATGCATTTCTATGATGATAGCTACATGCTAACTTGTGTTTCAGCTATGGAATTGTCCCTGATCTCTATGCAAACAACCTCTCATACATGCAGGCCTTGGCAGGATGACACTGGATGTAAAAATTTGTGACAGACCCAAAATAAGAGACAAATAAGCAACAATAAAACGCTTCAGGAAGGGATGAGGAATGATGCAGGTTTGATTTAGTTAAAAATGTGTTTAAAATTTTCTCTGGATCAGCTGCTGTAAGTCCACGGAGGTCAACTAAGCTATATTGATTCACACAGCTGAGACTCTGTCCCGGTAGCTTTAGTGTTAAATGTCTCTGATGATAATAGTGAGGTACACCAAGGTTCTATGTAAAGTTAAGGCTGTGATCCTGTGAATTCTCGCTTGTGGGAATAGTCCCATTGGGATTCATGAGAGCAGAACCCTTGATAAGTATTTGCAGGATCAAGCCACAACTTTGAGTCTAAAATGAGTGACCTATAGTACCCAGTCATGAGATGTCACCATCTAGCATGTACAGAATCCAGTTCATTTTCCTCTCTCATACATTGTCTTTTGAGGCTAACCATTACCTTTATGAGAATTTAATAGAGATCCTATCGGAGTATCACATTTATAACATTAGATCTAAGGAATTGGCATCAGTTGCATTATAATTAACCCCCATTATTTCAAAACACTACAAACCTTAATTACCATCTCTTGAGTCCATTGGCATAGAACTTGTCATCTCAGCTGTGCATTTTTCCCCTTGTGTTGAAGCTATGAGCTAAAGACCTAGTTCTGCAAAGCCCGTAAGGGTAGGATTTTCCGAAGTGACTTAGAGCCAGATTTCAAAGGTTTTTAGGTGCCTAAAGATGCAGAGAGGCTCCCAGTGGGATTTTGAAAAGTGGCTAAGTCTAACTCATAACTGAAATCAACAGGCCTTAGGCATCTAAGATGCTTTGAGAATGACTGAGGTGCCTGGGCACCTATCTGCATCTTTAAATGCCCAAAGAACTTTGTAAATGTGGTCCTATGTCATGTAGTCAATAGGATTTGTGCTCCTAAATCACATGCTAAACACATGGACAGCTTTGCTCATGTGAAGTGTTCCACTGAAGCCAATGGAAGGAAAAGAGAAGTGTAATAAAATTAGACATGTGAGCCTGGCTAGCCCATTGACAGAACATCAGCCTTTGGCAGGGTTCAAGTCCCTGTTCAAGTAAATACTTTAGCCACTCAGATGCTATGATAATGAAGGCCATAGAAGTACCACAATCAGTCCAGGTTATTCTTGCTGATAGAATAGAAACATAGTGTACATACCTATCATTCAGAAAGCTCTGGTATAACCACATGAAGCAAAAGTCATCGTAAGAGCTGCCGGTCTGATGTGTCCTTGGTATATCTGTATGGATTAATCCTTCAGAGCCATCCACCTCATCACTGATTTGGAGGAGAGGGGGGAAGAATACTGTTAATGTCACCCATGCCACCTGCTTTTGGGGAATGTTTTTCCAAGCAAAAGCTGAGCTACTGTGAACAAGATGTTGTGATCTGACACCTTGAGTAAAGCCAGTTCCTGAAGGTTACACTGATTCCCCTGTATCTTAATATACAGTGACAGCCTGTTTCCTTCTGTGTTTCCAAAGGCACTCTAGTATTTCTTAAACCAGAGAAGTTTAGTAAAGAAAACAGCTACAACAACTGATACAAACGAAACAAGTTCCTGTACAGCTTGAGTCCCAGTTTTGGCTCCCTTATTCAGCAAGGACTGCATGCTGCCTGGAACGCTATGTAGCACACAGAGACATTTAGTGGCTGAATAATATACTGCAAGTAAGCATGGCATTACAGGGCCTATCTCCATCATGTTCACAGACTGACACAGGTTGCCTTGCCACCTCCTGCTAGGCTGCAGTTGTGACATGTAGAAGCAGTGACTTCTGATGACATATCAAACTGACCTCCCACATACTTCCCTGCCTAATTATTGATGGGATGTGCTACAGCTGGGTGTGAAGGCTTATTGCGGTTGTGACATAGGTGAAAGCACATGTGCCATTGAAAATCATTAATTTTCTGGGGCAAAAAATTTTGGGCCTTTAATTAATTTGCTGCTGCTATTCTGGGAGCTCACTTCTGTTCTAGGGAGAGGAAGCCAATACAACAAAGACAAACAGAAATGCCGGTAGATGCTTCCTCTCCAACAGAAATCCACTTTGTTGATCCTCTGAATAGGGGCAAATTGTGCTCTGATCTCCTTCCTGGCTGCTGATGGCAGTATATATACTAGCCAGCTGGAGTAGGGGGCTGGATATGCTCAGCAATTAAGCCGGCATTCCTCCCAGTGCATTCTTGTGTAGTGTGGAAGGATTCTGCCTCGTTTGTGGTATTGAAGCAAGAGGAATGATTTTTCCTTCTATGACCATCTTCCCCTTGCATACTAGCAGAGGACAGGCTATAGTTATATAGCTGACTCCTGCTATGCTAATGATTGTATTGTACAAAATATCACGTCTACTTCGGGTACGTATAGGTGCACTGTAGGGGTCAATGAACCAGACAGTGTCTCTAGCTACACCTCAGCTGGGGAACAGAAGTGGCAGCAGAGAGAGGCTGTTAGAGTTGTTTTTGGGTGACTTATCTGTCCCCTAATATACAGGAAACATTTATGTAAATATGAAATTCAAGACATGGAAATGAAATTCAGGATTATCATAACCTCATCTGACACAAGAGGAATGATAAGGCAGGGAAACAGTGGCCTCAATCTTGCAACATCTCTCTATAAACTGACCTTCTAATCCATTGTAGATGTTAGCTCTGGAGAAAGATGCACAGTATTCTTACATGGCTAGAGTTACTATATGAGTCAATGGTCACAAATGGGGATGAGAAGGGGAGAAAAGATGGGGAAATAGTGATGCCCAGAGAAAAGAACACCAAGAGATGGCTTGTTATGCCCCTCAGTAGCACTGCCAGTGGGAGTTCCTTTCCTTTCCCTTCTCTTGACCAGGAAAAGGCCAGGACTGAATTAGGCCTTAATGCTTCCATTGATCGTTGTGCTCTAGTTATTTGCTACAGCCCAGGGGTGGGATGGGGGTGGAATGTATTGTACTAAGTGCCTAGAGGCCTGACTTAGATTGGGGCTCATTGCACTAGGTATTGCATGGAAAAAGACAGTCCCTGCCCCTGTCGCTGCAAATTGATATAAAAGGCAAGACTTGACAGGTGGGGCAATGGAAAGGGCATTGGACGGGTACTTGGGAGACCTCTGGTCTGTTCCTAGCTCTGCTACAGACCTGCTATGTGACCTTGGGCAAGTCATCTCACCTCTGTTTGCCCACCACTCACCCTGTGTCTGCCTGGTTTATTTAGATTGTAAGCCCTTCAGGACAAACTCTCTCTCTTACTATCTGTGAATGCACGTGTGTCGTATGATGAGATGTGTAGGGCAACCTTAATAGGTGATGCTACACAAGTGGGGGCGGGGTCATGTTGCAGAGGGGTGTTTACATGCTTGCGACTGTACATCAGACACAGGCAGTCAAGGAAGGCTGAGCTGTCGTAGTGAGTGGGCGGGGAACAGTACAGAGCTAGCTCTGGTGTCTGAGGCTTTCAGAAGTCCAGGAAGTACACACTGCTCTCTCTCCCTGGAGGATGGGGACCTGTCACTCTGCATTCTGGGTGCCTGTTTTCTAGCTGTAAGCTGACACCTGTGATGGGTTGAATGGCCAATAAGTCACTTTCCTTTCCCAGTGGATATATTTGTTACCTGCGCTTGTAGCCCACCAGAGACTTGATTAGTTTCTGAACCTGAGCGTTTCCTCTCATCTTGCTGAGTTCGCTGGTGAACGTGCCGTCAGAGTGCCTCTGGTACCTGTGCTTCGGGAAAGAGAGAAGAGGCATGGACCTGCCCTGAGGCTGCTCTCTCTGTTCTACGGGACTTCGATTACACCTGCCATTGCTGCACAGCGGGGCCTTTCCCGCTCAGATAGGCTCCTGCTCCCAGCACTGTGTATTGGGATTGTCCCACAGGCTCAGAACTTAAAGGGGAGACAAGCTGCCTCTCTTGTGTGTATGAATTATGCCCTGGCGTAGGTAACTGAAAAGGAACAGTTCTAGATGGGCATATGGCTTACTCTAGACAACATACGATCAAGCCAGCTGTTCATATTTAGAAAGGATGATCAATTTTTTTTATATAACGGTGCTGTTCTCCCCCCACCCGCCCCGCGGCAAAAACATCCTCTAGTTGCATGAATTTCAAGGGAGTTAAATGGTGTGTCGCTTCCCCCTGTTCCTTAACGATAGCTTTGAAATGTTGGCATCTGTATAAAGTTACAAACCTTGGGCTAGATCAGGGCCGGGCAAACTTTTTGGCCTGAGGGCCACATCGGGTTTCCAAAATTGTATGGAGGGCCGGTTAGGGGAGGCTGTGCCTCCCCAAACAGCAAGGCATGGCCCGGCCCCTCCCTGCTTCTCGCTCCCTGATGGCTCCCCCAGGACTCCTACCCCATCCAGTCCCCCTGTTCCCTGTCCCCTGACAGCCTCCCCGGGACTCCTGCCCCATCCAACCACCCCTTTTCCCTGTCCCCGACCACCCCTGGACCCTCCATTCCTGACTGCCCCCGACCCGCCCCATCCAACCCCCCCTTTCCTTCCTGACTGCCCTCCCAGGACCCCTGCCTCTATTCAAACCCCCTGTTTCCCACCCTCTGACTGCCCCGACCCCTATCCACACCCCTGGCCCCTGACTACCCCCTCGAACTCTCCTGCCCTCTATCCAACCTCCCCTGTTCCCTGCCCCCTTACCGCGCTGCCTGGAGCACCGGTGGCTGGCGGCATTACAGCCACGCACCGTGCAGCACCGAGCACCGGGTCAGGCCACGGCTCTGCAGCTGCGCTGCCCCAGGAGCTCGCAGCCCCCCCCCCCCCCCCCCCAGAGCATTGCGCGGGCGGTGCAGTGAGCTGAGGCTGTGGGGGAGGGGGAACAGCAGGGGAGGGGCCGCGGGCTAGCCTCCTGGGCCAGGAGCTCAGGGGCCGGGCAGGAGGGTCCCGTGGGCTGGATGTGGCCCTACCTCTGGCTAGATTGTCACTTTACCACCTGCCCTGGGTAAGTGGCCCTGCGCAGCTGTGCTGGCCCAGGAGCACACCAGGGAGGGAATTGCGACTCTCAGACTTGCTCGAGGGGGGAAGCCGCCGGCTACCAGACTACACCATTAGAGCAGTTCCCTTCCCACTTCACACCAGCTCAGCTCAGCCCATGGCTGCACCCAGTCCCTGCTCCTTCCCACCCTGCACCTGCTCAGGAAGGGGAGAACTGGCCCTGCAGAAGCTGCTCTCCCACCGGTGCTGCGACCTGAAATGTGGGTGTCCCATGCAGGGGAGTAAGGGAGCACCGTACCTTATTATTTGTATTGCAGTGGTGGCTAGGAGCCCTAGTCATGGACCGAGACTCCATTGTGCTAGGCACTGCCCAGACAGAGCAACAAAAAAAAATGGTCCCTGCCCCAAGGAACATACAGGGTAAGAAAACCTTCTAAGCGATAACCTTTTCCCCCTTGGTGTGCAGGCACGTAGGGTGAGTGATGATTTAGCCCCTTAGTCTGACATGCAAGGAAGAGGAGAAGGCAGCAGACTCTCTCTGTTTTTTCACTTGTTACCTCAGGCTTGGAATTGTGAGTGTACAGCGACACACCACACCTCCATTGGCATGGACACCCCAGGGGAAAGGGGAAGTCCTTATTCCAACCTTCCTCAGGCAAAACTCCCTTCCAGTGCGTTCAGAGGGAGCTATGCCTGAGTGAGCTCTGCAGGGCTGATGAATGAGCTCTCTAGAGTCAGACCTGGTTGCATGCAAGGTAGGGTATGTTCCTGAAGCACTAGGGCTGGATTCTGCCCCATGCTGGCTCCCCTTTTGGGCTGCTCTCGCTACCAAAGATTTCACCTAGAGAATTTGAAGCTGCCTTGAAGCAGCAGTTATGGATTCCTGTGTGGAAAGTAATCACCTGTGGCTTAGCTGGCTTTATGCCACTCACTCCTAGCCCCCCTCTTGTTGGAAGTAATGGGCCATTGGAACATCCCCGGGGGGGGGCATTACAGTGTGTGCCAGTTAGAGCAGCCCTGAGATGGCTTTAGCTTTTGCAGCAGCTGATCTGGCTTCTGGGTATCGTCAGGATGGACGGTTCAGAAACTCAAGGTGCACCTGAGGATCTGGCCCCAGATTTGGAATCAGGCTCCAGAGAAGGCCAGGCAGTTTGCTTGCTAGTATGACTGGCTTGATCTCTAGACCCAGTCTATAGTCTCTTTTTTTTGAGGCTCATCATGATCTTCTTATACTTTGGAGTTCAGAGGTCACAACAGCACCAAGCAGGGAAGAACCAGTATTTTTTACCTTTGATTGAGGCCCACAAGAGATTTGACTAACTTCTGCACGTAGGCATTTTCATTCATCTTGCTGAGTTCACTGTTAAATACCCCGTCAGCATGTCTCCGAGCCCTGGGAGTTTAGAACAGAAAACCAAAATGGCTGCAATGCCATGCTTTATATGGTGTGGGTGTTTAAAACCATCCCTTTGGGAGAGGGGGGGAACCTGGGAGGCAGGATCATAGCTAGCCATTAATAGAAATCATAATGACCTTGACCCAAAATGGGAAACGGGAGCTTTCCAAGTAGGGGCGGGGGAAGAGGGTAAAAAGGCAAAGGTTCAAAGCATAGAAGGAGCAAATATTTAAAGGTTTAAATATATTTTAAACTAACCAGAAAGTAAAAATGTCTTATTTTCCTTTCTTGCTAGATTTAGAAAAGCCTGCTGATCATATATGATGGAATACACCCCTGTGTTCACACCCTACACACGAGTGTAGTAGTCTTTTTACAAAGTATGCCTTGTAACATATTGTTTGAAAACCCATAATTTGTGGGTCAGTATTGTCCTGGTAAAACGTGTGTGGCAACATTGTATGTGAAGTTATAAGATTCCCCTGAAATTATAAAAAGGAGGGACAAACACTCCAAGGCTTCCTGTGTGATGTTGGGCGAGCCACTTCGCCCTTCTGTGCTGTAGTTCCCCATCTGTAAAATGCGGAAGGTACTGTCCTATCTCCACAGGGGTGCTGTGAGGAGAAATACAACAAAGTCTCTGAGGTGGTAGAGTAATAGGGGACATAAAAGTACCTGAGAGCAGGGGTGCTGGAACAGTTTTTATAGTGGGGGTGCTGAGAGCCATTGAACCAAACTGTAAGCCCTGTATATAATGGAAACCTCTTCAAATCAGAGGGTGCTGCAGCATCCCCCTGCACTCCTAGTTCCAGCACCTATGCCTGAGAGAGATGGGATTTGCAAGCCTGGGCCACTAGAGTGTCTCTTTGGTGCAAGGATCTCTATGCCTACAGGTCTAATAAAGCACCTAGCATGTTTTGGCATTGTGTAGATCAGGTAATGATACTTGGTGTAGCAAAGAACTTCTTCAAAACAAAAAAGACACCTCACTTAAATGGATGTTTCACTGAAAAGAAATGTCCAGGGTCTACATAATATCACTCCTCAGAGCCCATAAGGTCAGACCTTCAGGGGCTCTACTTTAGTGGAGTCACACTGATTTACCCTGGCTGAGGGCCTGGCAGTACCCATGTTTTGTCACCAGTTGGTTGGACTAAACTAATCTATACAGAGGAACTCTTAGTGTGGAATAAGAATATGCACACAGGGAGCTAGTGCAGAATAGCTATTGTGCTTTAAATTAATACCCTAGCTATTTTGTACTAATTTCCCCATGAATTCGCTATGTAGAAAAGCCCTAATTTAGTTACACTGTTGCAAACTTGAGTGTAGACACTTAAAATGGTTGAAGAGTGAGTGGGTCATTTCAGTTTAGCTTATTCTGTTCTGACTGCCAAAAATAAGAGTGTCTACACAAAAACTTGCATTGGTTTAGCCAAATCAGTTTAAAAACCAAACAAACAGTTGCAACTTCTCTATATAGACTAGACCTTAGTTTTCTAGCTGCTGGAGCCTTAGAACAGAAAGTCATGGAAAGAAGAAGGGGGATGGAGTCCCAAAAAGACTCTTACCTCTCTAGAGGAGGAAGCGTTGCTGAGAGCTGAGACAGGACAACCACAGAAATAACTAGCTGCCAGAGTCCAGTCAGCAGGGAGGCCATGATGTCTCCTGAAATGAAGCACTAGGTTTTGTGAGCAGTAAAATGAATGACCCTGTAATTTGTTTGGAACAATTTACCGGTTGCACAGCACCAGATATTGCTATGTTACTAACACCATTCTAATTAAATAAGGCAGTTCTTGCCAACAGAGAGAGCATTCTGTTAAACGTAAAAGATGAGCAGACCCAAATAATTTGCCCAGCCAGTAAATTACAAGCTGTTTGTACTCTATATGCCCCAGTGAAACCACGGTTTTGATGTTTTAATGTTGGTATTCAGCGCAATATAGAATGAATAGACTGATAATACATCTGGGGCAAAACACAATGGAGCAAATCCCACTCTGTTGCAACTCAATATAAGTCAAAACTCCATGGATGAATTTGGCCATATATTTAGAATTGGGAGGATTAAAAAAAACTCACCACCACCACTGAACACATTCAGCTGTCAAAATACCTATAGAAAATCCAAGTCTAATATTTCAAACTGTAAGGCAAAAAAGTATATGCAACACTATATTTCATCCGGACAAGCTGGGGGCTTGCCAGTGCTTATAGCCATGTGCAAGCATCCATTTGACACTGGAAAGGGGTGAGTAGCCAGTCTCAACATCTGCACCTTCAAGGAAAATCTTCAGGCAGATGTTTATATGTGTATTTTTTTTAAAAACCCTGAAAGATTATCACCTGCAGTTGGAGCATGAGATGTTTTATGGACATTGGGGTGTAGCCATAGCATAAATAAGGACAAATCCCCCAGAAAGGGCAAGATCATAGGAAAGCAGTGGGAAGAGAAGCATGTTCTACTCCAGGCTGATGGAATGGAGAAGGAGGAAGAGGACAGTGGCAACCTGCAGAGAATGCTTGCTACATGAGAGGTTCCTTTCAGTGAGCTTTGTCTAGGCTGACTAGATATGTACTGGCCTCCCTGTTCCCCAGAATCCCACAGAAAGAATACCTAAACTTCACTAAATTCCAGTCTGAAGGATCACCCCTGAACCAGCAGACACCCAAACAGCTCCATTCCAAAGCCCATGCCATCAGCACAAATTATTTTAGCCTACTGCACATCTCTTAGGGCTTGGGAAACCTGGAGTCAAGTCCCTGCTCCACCACTGATTGCCTGTTGTGAACCTGGGCAGATTACTTCGCCTCTCTGTGCCGCCGTTCTCATCTGTAAAATGCAAACAGTACTTCTCTACCTCACAGAGGCGTGCTGAGAAAAAATAAAGCTTGTGATGTGCTCAGGTACTGTGGTGCCATATACTCCTTTGGATAGATAAATTAAACCACTATCCAGATCAAAGATATCATGGTTTTCTGCTTGCAAAGAAATAGATCCTAAATTTCAAAATAACACGCACAATTTTCTCCCAAATGTCTTGGTTCAAAACCCTCAGTGCATATCTGTGCATGTGAGAGCTAACAGTAGAATACTTCTACAGAATTCAGGGTCCTCATGCTTGGATGCTCAAATGAGAATCTGAGCAGACAGTAGGAAAGAGATTACTTAAGGTAACATCCAATATGTTAGGAGAGCTGTGAGGAGGACAGAAGTTCTGTTTCACAAAGGATTTTGAGATTCTTAAATTTGACTTTGTTCTGAATCAGAATGAAAGCCAAACATATTTGAAATAGTTTCCGAAGGAAACTAATAATACAAATTTTTAAAAAATTCAAAACAAAAAGTCCCTTCAAAACAAAAAATCAAAATGTATTGTTCTGAAAATGTCGAAATGGGACATTGTTGGAACTTTCCCCCCATTTTTCTTCTGAAACAAAATTCCAGCAAAATCAGCCTTGTTTTCAATTTCGACAGAACTACGTATTCTGACAGAATATGGTTCCCCTGCAATTCCTCTGAGGAGTTTATTATCCAAGGAGAGAGAAGTAGAGAGAAGCAAAGGGAACAGGAGGGGAGGGGCCTTGCAGATGAGTTCTGGGAGGTTGTACTCTGCACAGGGAGCCCCATGAGAAAAGGCACAGAGGTGAATGGTGAGAAGCTGACATACAAGGATCAGATGTCATTAGCCTCTTTGCCTCTTCCCATGCATACAAATCTTGCTATTGGTCAGAAAATTATTCAGCCCTCTCTAAAACCCTGATTTTTGGCATTTGACTCACTGCCTTGCTCTGACCCTACCATGTGAAGAATTTTCATTTACCTAACATTCATTTTTAACAGCTGACCCATTATTCTCTTACTATAACCAGGGGGAATAAAAGCCATGAGCTAGGGCCACTGGATAACCATATTCTACATTGCAAAGAAAGAGAAAACACTGTGATTCAATAGAAATGTGCCCCTCTGTCTAATTCACCTCCCATTCAGCACCATTAACAAATGTCAGCATAGATTTTCAGTACTTACTTGCTATGTTCACGCAGGGCTTCTTCACTCTCTCACACCCGCGATGTGCCACTAATCCATTCTTGCCTGTACCCCCTATAAATATTCATCCCTTATCAGGTACACTAAATTAGGTAAAGATGGAAATGAGATTAACATTTATTAATGGCACTGATATCCTGGCTGAAATGTATTTTTAATTGCACTGTAAACCCAAGCAGGTAGGTACAGCCGTTTGACTGACCATTTTGCCAATGTTTGTTGGTTCCTGTTTTGGGGATGTAATAAAACTAATTTGTCAGACAAACATCCCTGGACTGATACTGATGATATCAGTAATGACTAATTGGTTTTGAATGTCACCAGCATGACCTCTCCTAGCTTTAACTATCTGCTTGATGGGATTTTAATACATTTCCCCCATTTTTGTTAGGGTTTTGTTTTCAAATAGCTGAGAGAGAGAGAGTGTGTGTATCCATACAAGGAACGCTCTTGATATTTGGATGTATATTACAATAATTTGCAAACAGTAATTGTCGAGATTCAGTATCTGCACAGTGGGTGAGGTTCTGGAACACCCTCCCAGAGTAGGAGCTGTGGAGGCAAACAACCTAACTGAGAGCTTGAAAAATTTATGAGTGCAGTTGTCTGATGGAGTTGCTTGTGACAGTGGGGGGCCAGGCTGGGACTCCTAAAGCTCATGCTTCAAAGTTTCAACCGGCCACCAGCAGGGGTCAGGAAGAGATTCTCCCCCCTCCTTACCCCCCAAATGTTTTCTGTGAGGGATTTTTATGTCCTTCCTCTGAAGCATCAGGGATGGCCACAGCTGGAAGTGGTATATTGGATGGGGATAGCCGGGTCTCTGGGGTGGCACTGAGGTGCTGGGCTGGCTGGTCCCTGCTCACATGTGCAGGATCTAACTGACGGCCATAGGTGGGGCTGGGAAGGAGCCTCCAGATCAGCTTGGCAGTGACGGTGAGGTTTTTTTCATCCTTCTCTGCACCATGTGGGTGGCTCACTTGTCAGCATTTTCTGGGTATATCTCATTTGCTCATTGTCCTACCATTGTAGGGGCCTTGGGCACTGGTGCACCTCGATCCTTCCTATTCTCTGCCTTTATCACATTGTAGTCTAATCTCCGGTGGCCTGTATACTTTGGTCTAATTTCAGTTGCTGGGTTTAGTGTGCAGCTGCTGGCTGGTGTTGACAACCTGTGATACACAGGGGAGGTTGGACTAGATGATCTGGTGGTCTCTTCTGGTCTTAAACTCTGACTCATTTTAGGGCAAACCTTGACTGGTCTTAGGTAGGAATAACCCCAGCTTTGGAAAAACAAGGCTGATGCTGCTGAGACTGGAGTTGCCTGGACAGACCAGGGAAGAGTCATTTCCTGGAATAGCAGAGTTTGCTGCAGCTCAGCAGTGGGCTGCCTACTTAGAATTGTGTGGGGAATGGGCTGGGCCTAATCAAAATACACTGACATCAGTTTTCAGAGGAACAGCCGTGTTAGTCTGTATTCGCAAAAAGAAAAGGAGTACTTGTGGCACCTTAGAGACTAACCAATTTATTTGAGCATGAGCTTTCGTGAGCTACAGCTCACTTCATCAGATGTATACCGTGGAAACTGCAGCAGACTTTATATACACACAGAGAATATGAAACAATACTTTTTTTGTATTGTTTCATATTCTCTGTGTGTATATAAAGTCTGCTGCAGTTTCCACGGTATACATCTGATGAAGTGAGCTGTAGCTCACGAAAGCTCATGCTCAAATAAATTGGTTAGTCTCTAAGGTGCCACAAGTACTCCTTTTCTTTTTACTGACATCAGTGGAAAGACTCCCGTTGACTTCTGTGGCCTTTGGATCAGGTTAGGTTCAGTCAATGTTCTTAAAGGGCTGGAAAGAGAGAGAAAATAGAATTATGCCCTTTCGTTGCATCTTCATGACATATAAGGTAGCTTGAAAGTATTTTTCATTAAAAAAATGAATCTCCTTGTCCTCTACCATAGAAGTTTGAGGAATATTAAGTCTTGTCTTCCCTGTTTTTTTCTGGAGGATTCTTTGGAGGAGTAGAGGATTGGAGCTTTCTCAGCTCTCAGTTAAAGAGATGGAAGGGACCTGAATTTTCACAAAGAGATCTTTTATCCTGACTGTTTGGCATACATTAGGGTTAAACGAGAGTTAACAAAAACAAACAGATAACAGAGTTATAAATAATGTGACGGAGGGCCAGAATGTGACTATAAGGGACAGCCTTAAACAAGGAATGGTGTGTAAATTTCACCACCCTAGGAGGAGCCCCCAGAGGCATTTTGACTCAGACACCCTTCTTAGGCACGGGAGCTGAATCATGGATGTACAAACTAAGAAGAAAAAAGCTTTCAGGCTTCTTTTAACATCATAGGTAGCTAAAAAGGACCCAAGCAATTTTCTCCTTTTCCAGGGATCTGTTAATAGTCCTGAATTTCACGCCACCTTTGATGGAGCTCGATTAGTGTTTTGCAAAGCCCTTTGAAGCACTCAGATGAAAGGCACAAGGAAAAGATTCATCATGATGATTAATTAAATGGCCCCATGATGGCAGCAGAGGGTGAGTAATAGGAGAGAGCTTTTGGATGCTTGAAGAGTGACGGCCTCTGAAAACTGGAGTAACTGGACTCACCTACCTTCCTACTAAAAATACAT